TTTTTAACGTCTAGGCTAGGCCCTACTGGCCTGCCTTATTCGGAAAGGATTCAATAGAAATGTTCCACAAACCGATCTTTCCGAAAAACCGAACATTGTTGCGAACATCGTATTGTGAGTGCACTGTACATACAAATAGATTCCTGTATTTATATTTCGCGGCATAATTTCATACAGAGACAACAGAACAATTTTTCTGTATCTGTCAGTGTTACTTGATCGGTGGGGGGGGGGGCAGCATGATTAGAATGTCAAAAATATGGTATTTGGGCCTTCCGAAGTTGGCAAGATAGTGGCTAGTGAAAGGGATTGAGGACCAGTAAAAATATTAATTTACTGGTCCACTTGGCTAGTTAAAAAAATCCTTAAGGGAAACCCCTGGTGGGGAAGGTGACTGGCGATTTGCTTTTTCTTCTATAACACCTACAAGTACGGTAGGGCCTACTAAAAATATAAGAGACATTGGGGTTTCCCCAACAAGTAAAATGATTGAATTATAGGGTCTTAATTATTATTATTATTACACGTTTGGAGAGCTTGTCTTATAACAATAGCAAACATGTTTGACCCGTTTCTGTCGTTGGGGATAATTTGTAGATCGCGCCTTACACAAAGTATAATATAATATTAATTTTAAAGTTACATTTGAATAAGTATTAAGGAAAGTATTAGATTGATCGAGGACTTACTTGAATATACAGACACTAATAATAAAGAGGGATCTTTAATTTTTATTGACTTCGAAAAGGCCTTCGACTCTGTAGATAGAAACTTCATGCTCAAGTCTCTAAAATATTTTGGCTTTGGAAAACAATTCATACATTGGGTAGAAGTAATGTACACCGATACAGAAAGCTGCTGTATTAATAATGGGTGGACATCAGAGAGTTTTATTATGAATAGCGGGATACGCCAAGGATGTCCTATGTCCTCTTTAATATTTGTTTTATTTGTAGAGTTAATGGCAATTAACATAAGAAACAATCCTCTGTGTAAAGGCATTAAACTGCCGTCTTCAAACAAGGTTCTGAATACTTTTAAAATAGCAAAATTGCTGAATGATACTGTGATTTTTGCAAAGGATGAAAATGGGTGGACATCAGAGAGTTTTATTATGAATAGCGGGATACGCCAAGGATGTCCTATGTCCTCTTTAATATTTGTTTTATTTGTAGAGTTAATGGCAATTAACATAAGAAACAATCCTCTGTGTAAAGGCATTAAACTGCCGTCTTCAAACAAGGTTCTGAATACTTTTAAAATAGCAAAATTGCTGAATGATACTGTGATTTTTGCAAAGGATGAAAATAGCATAGCTAGTTTCATTAAAGAAATTGAATTGTTTTGTGAAGTGTCTAAATAAAATAAAAACGAAAGGTGTGTGGGTTGGAAGTAATAAAAATAAGAAAGGTAATGCGTTCAATCAAGAACCTATAAAGTTTTTAGGAATATATATAGGATACGATAAACTTACTGGCATTGCAAAAAATTGGGGAAAAAAAGTTTCTAATTTAGAGCATGTTTTAAAACATGAAGAAAAAGAAATTTGTCCTTTTTTGGAAAATTACAATTATAAAGACACTTGCTTTATCAAAACTTACATATTATGCAAGTATCACAGATATTCCCAAAAACTTTATCCCTAAGGTTAATAAAATTTTGTAAAACTTCTTATGGAGTGGGAAAAATGCAAAAATAAAACAAGATATAATTATACAAGATATTATGAAAGGTGGCCTAAAAATGATCGATCTCAACTCTGTAATCGATTCCCTTAAATTAAGTTGGGTAAAATGCTTAATAATAAGTCCTGACCCAGGTAAATGGAAATATATATGCTTTTACATGTTTCCTGTAACATATACATTATGTATGACAGATATGAACTTTGAAAAGCATAGTTCATTAAAAGAGTTGCCTACATTTTATAGGAATATGCTTTATGTATGTGTCAAATACAATAATATACATGCTTCGCACCCACAATGTATCTGTGAAGTAAAAAAGCAAAGGCTTTGGGAAAACAAATTTATTCAGTTAAACGAAAAACCTCTTTTTTGTAAAACATGGGTAGAGTCAAATTTTAAAACCATAAATGATATAATTGTAAATAACTGACTAATAAAGATTGATGAGATAATTCCAAAATTGTCAAAAACGCCAAATACACTAATAGAATATGTGGCATTAATTAATGCAATTCCGAAAATATGGAAAGAAATTATTGTAAACCAATTTGTTTGTGTATTACATGGTGAAAAAGAATGTCAATCCAATGACACTATTATTTTAAAAAAACAAAAAGTTAAAGATTTTTACTTAACATTCATTAATGACAAATATATTGTACCAAAAGCTCAAGTAAATGGGAAACTACTTTACAAATCAACACAATCGACTGGCCACTGTGTTGGAAAAACAAAGTGAATTCAATGATGCATATGAAGAAAATTGCTCATTTCAACTATAAATTAATACACAGAATCTTACCTACATGATCTAGACTTAAACTGTGGAATATATCGAACAACAATCTTTGTGAGTTTTGCAATATACAGGAGGATGAAGAACATATGTTATTCAAATGTAAGGATATAGAATTTTGTTAGGTAAAACTTTATCGTATGTTAAAAATATGCAATTTTGATATAAATGAAAAAATAGAATGGAATAAAATTGTCCAAGGATGCTATGCTGAACGAACAAATGAAATTCTATCTATTTTTACATTCTGTATCTATAATAGTAAAGTTAAATACAGTTTTGGACTTGGGAAACAATGTCCTTGGGTTATGTTTTTATTGGAATTAAAGAGTTTAATAAGCTGTGATTTCTTAATTAACAATGAAAAAGCAAAAAAGAAATGGTCAATGATTGACCTTACAAAATAAAAAAATATTATATTGGTTAAACTTGGTTAAAACAATTTCACCATATAGTCTGAAGGGAAACTATTTAGAAAAAATAATGTAGCCTATAAATATTGTGTGTTTATAAATACAAGCGAACAAACTTTAAAAAATAGGCTTGACTTTTTATTATATCCTTTATTAAAATGACAGAAAACAAATAGAAAAATGGCATGGTAATTGTACACTTTGACCGATGTGCATAAATTTCAAGTGAAAGTAAGAAAAAAAAATGGTTAAAGATATTTTAAGAAGCTATGTTGAACAACTCTTTACAAATTATACTGTGTATGCTGAACTTATGAATAAAAGTGGGACGACCCCACAAAAGAGAAAAAAGTATTGTGTCTTTGTAAAGCTTGATAATTTTAAATCATGTTAGTTAACAAGACAACAACATTTTTCTTTGTAATGGATGTGAAATATTTTATATAATTTATAAGCAAAAGAATTTCAATATTATTTTTTTACTGAGTATAAATAGGCCTATCCTTGTTTCGTAATTGCCTATTGGCAATTGCCTATTTCGTAATTGCCTACAAACAAGTCAATAATTTACAAAAAAATTCAGCATCCCGGTCCTGTACCGCCGTAGGGTCCCTTCTCTGCATAATTTCAACGCCCTTTTTATGATTTTTTTTTTGTATTAATAAGCCCGAAAAAATTACTCACTTATTTATAGGAAGTGTTTGATACTAGACCTACTACTGTAACTACCAGTTACCTTATAAACAACTACAGTATTTTTAGATGCACATTCCTTGATATGAAGGCATTGTTAATATTTAACTATTATTTTAATTCAGCTGTAATGAAACCAGCACAATTTTTTCGGCTTAATATCTTTTAAGTTTTTTAATAATTAAAAAATTGGATTGGATTGGATTGGATTTGATTTATTTGGTGTAAACACCAAGGATAGCCCACAAAAGACTTATTTCCAGTGGGGTCCTTCTGGTGGTGATTGGGCAGTACAATCCCCTACTCTTTTCCGAAGAGTGTACTGGCACGTGGGCCATAATGCATACGGGTCCAACGGCTTAAACGTCCCATCTGAAAGACGGTGCGCTATTGTAACTTGTGTTTCAGCCCTCTAGCTGAAACACAAGGAGAGGCAGTGGTGGGAATTGAACCGGGGACCTAGAGATCTCCACGGTTCAGCTTTGCCAAAATAAGCATTATCAACCAACCAATCAATCACTCACTCGTAATATTTTTATAAGGTACCATTCCAACATTTAAAAAATAAACTATGCATTCACTCAGAGATGTCCGAGACAACACTATTCTAGGGGGCCCGAAGGCATGCCCCCGCAAAATTTTTGTGTTCTCGACGACCAAAAATAACATTTGAGGCGTTCTGGGCTATCCGTTTATTAGGGCATGAATGGGTAGTGCACTAGGTTTAATTGATTATTTTTAGCACTTGCTTTTGAGTGGTTTCATTATTAGTAAGAAATATTGAATGCAATAATATATGCTACGATTTGACAGGATCGGTTAATTCTTTAATAGTGTATCTTAGGTTGCTGGGGTATTCAAGGTTTATTATTCAAAGTTTATTCAAAACATATTGCGGTCACAGCAAAAGCTGAATTAATACAATATTTACAGAAAACACCAAAAAAAAAACAAATACAATATATAAAACCAGCACATATCAAAAAAATGCATTACCAAAAAATTTCATTTTACAACAAATTAAAGCTACTTTAATTAGTAGAAGGGGCCCTTCTAGTCTATTTAAACTGGGTAGGAGAGCTTTGCTCCTGAGAGGACACTTGGTCACTTACTGTGCTAGGTAGTAGTTTGATGAGCTTTTTCCCCAATTTCGGATGAGTGGGCGTGAAAAAAATTCTACCTGGGCCTTGGAAACTATTTTTTTTTTATTTTAGCCTTTAAGGAGTTGTGATTAACATCATGTAATCATGACTTTTAGTGCAACTCTCAAATTGTAACTTTAGTTTATTAGGGCATGAATGGGTAGTGCACTAGGTTTAATTGATTATTTTTAGCACTTGCTTTTGAGTGGTTTCATTATTAGTAAGAAACTTTAAGATTTTTTTTATTTTGATATTTTGTTTTTTATAGGGTAATGCAGAAGATGAAGATCCTCTAGATTTTAACACAAAACAGAGAAATGATGATCCAGGGACTTACTTTACAGATGGCAAAAGAAAGATTGGTGAGTTATTGTAGTCCTGTATTAGAGATTATTAGTTGATTTCATGTCATGTTTGTTTTAACAAAATCAGTGGCGCTGAGAGGCTGGGGCAGAGAGAGCAAGTGCTCCGGGCTGCTAGCTACAAAAAAAAAAAAATTTTTTAAATAAATAAATAAATAAAAATGATTAAACGTAGGCCATACCTGTCAGAGGAAATAACAATACACTTTTCATTTCTTCCACTATGAAACTAACCAGGGATATTTTTGTTGGACTAGCCATAATGTTGAAGACCAACATCTTTGTTTTGTGGTAGCAGTTGTCCCTGGTTAGGCATATCAATGCCATACCTCAAGGCAAAATAAGAAAATATATAAGATTTTAAAAAATTCTAGTAAAGTTAAGACATTAAAAGCAAGACCAACCATGACCAATTACAATCAATCCTGATTACAATTCTCCAACCCCCCCCCCCCCTTCTGTTTCAAGAATGTTGATTTGTGTGGTAACTAAAATCACAGAATTTCTTGTAGGCTACAGCTCTTGCCACTGTGGAAGTAATTTGTGAATACTGTAGTGTATAGTATACATCAGTATACATCAAGTGATAGCTCAGGTTTAGCAATTGTTGTACGGTTGTTAAGTTATAAATTCTAGTATAAAAATATCCCAATTATGAACCTCTCAGTTATGAACTCTCAATTTTACAAACTCGATTGTCAAAGATGACGTTACAAATTTGCTCCCATGGCAAGGCTTAGGCCTACCTAGCACTGTACAGTACTATGTAGCATAGACCTAGGCCTACCCTCTCCACTGAGATGCTATGAAAATACAAACTCTCTGGATTACGAACTTCCTCGTTTTACGAACTCTGTTTGGAAGGAGGAGTACATAATCGGGAGAACTGTATTCATTTACTTAGTATTTGCTGGTATTGTAATATTGTTGCAATGTAAAATTCTGTGCACGCTATCTTTTAGACTGGTCAGAGTGTAGGGCCCTGCAATTGTTGCTGTTTTTTCGGGCTAATTTGTTTTTCAATTTTTAGGGGCATCACATCTGTGATCAAAAATAAAAACAGGAGGTAATGGACTACTACTACTTCATCTGTATTTATTTTTATTATACTGGTATAAGTTTTATATTAGCGTGTTTAGCAATCAGGTTAAAACAATTTCATTGTTTACCAATAAAATGCAGTATTTTTTATTCTTGATGGTATAGTAAAAATATAATTTACTGTGCAGGTATGAGTTGGTGGTTAGAATGTTTGTGAGGAGGGTAGTAGAGAAGTGATTATTAGCATTAGCTGAGGAAATGAGGTGATACAGTAGAGCAGCTTATTTTGCACTCTTTATCGGAAAGTTTTCAGGAGTGTGCGGTGGCGTTTAGCCTACTGTATGGTGGTGATAAAAAAAACCATTTCTGGGGGATTGTGCCTCCCACACCTTTTGGATTCCACTGTACTTGCAGTATGCTACATGTGATGTATCAGTGATATCCCAAAGCCTTTTTGGCTGTCAATATTACCGGTAAAAATAACCGGCCAACCTGTAAAAATTGTTTTTCCTTCACATCCAACAGCAAGTAAACTTGCCACCTACAGGATGAGAATGATGCTTTATAAACTAAGTCTCTTTATGAGGCTTAGTGAGTGGAGTTTATTTTAGTTGTGAGAAAAAGTCCTTCTATGGCAGGAATTAAACCCAGGACCCTGTGATCAGAAGGCAAACCACTGAACTATTTAATTCCACACCCAATTGTGTTTGTAAAATAAAATAACCACTAATAATAGGCCAAGATAGTCAAAGCTGGCCTTCTTTCAATAAATAAACACCATTCCAGTCTGTATACCATAGGCTATGCAGGGATGTAGCCAGTGAAAATTAAGGGTGGGTATTAAAATTTTAAGGGTGGGTGTTGAATCTTGTGAGTATTTTTTCGCGTAGCACCAACCGCATGAACAGTTATTAGATGGGGGGGGGGAGGGGTGGTAATGATAATTATGACTTACTTTGTTTGGTTTAAATAAAGGGGTAAGTATACTGTGAGATGAGTGCAAATATTAAATTTTACTAAAATCACTGTTCTTTTATTGACTGAAAGTAACTTGTAAGTTGTAAGTTTTCTTTAATTTCTGTGTGTTAAATTTATTTGTTATATTTTCATCTCGTATTTTTCATACGCAAATTTGATCCCTGAATAAGAAGGGTGATATATTATGCACCTGTCAAACCTAGGCCTAGCTTTTTTTAAGAAATCATCGCACCACACGCACTGGCTGCCGCTAGCCTAGTCTCAGAAAACAACTAGGCCTAGCCTCCTAGAGTATTCTTACAACAAACACATTCGAATCGAAGGTGCAGGAAAAAAAGACATAAAGATCGATTTATTGTTGTATGTGTTATATTGCAAGAATTGTAAGTACATTAATGTAAAAAAAAATCATTATTTGTTCAATTTCAAAACAAACTTTCGATTAACAAATCACAAACATTCAGCCTCTATCAACACACGCATGCATCAGGGTTGCCAGATAGTCAACAGGCTTCACGGCCAAACACACGCCATCTCACAGCCAAATTCGGCCAAACTTTTTTTCGATATCGGCCAAAATTCGGCCAGATTTTAATCCGATTAGAAAACAACAGTAGGTCCATTCGTTTGAAATACTACAAAAATTTTACAAAAATCAGTGCTCATTCGTTTGAAATTGAAGAAAACAGATTAAAGAAACAATGTTAAAAATAAATAGCCTATGTTCTTTAGTTGCTGGCATGCAGGCCAATTCAGGGGCAAATCCAGAGATGTCCGAAAAGGGGAGGGCCGGGGCCGAAAAAAAAGGGGAGGGGGAAGGGGAGAAGGGGGGCGAAAGTGGATCGAGATAACACCATCTTAGAGGAAATTAATGTACATTGTAGTCGATCTATAGCAAACATTTTAAGGGCCTGTTATTGGCAAATCCCTGGCTCTCTTTAATTAGAATGAATTAAGTTACATAGTTAGGTAACACAAACTGGCGTTAAAACAAACCTATGAAAAGTTTAATAAATACTTTTATCTAAACTTTCGAAATTCGCTTCTGAATATTATTGTCACAGTACTTAAAGCAATAAATCAATGTTGCTATAAGAATTATCTTCTTCATTCTTATATGCAACCTAACTCCAGAGTAACTTCGATGCTGAGTCTCTGCAAAACTTGCTTGAAATTGGAGGTGCCATTGGACCCGAATGATCACATCGAGCATTTATATATGGCGCTCTACATAAAGAACACTGCGGAACCTAGGCTATACAATTCAAGTTGGCAATAATAAATAAATTAAAGTACAGTATGTAATTTATATTCAAAAGAAATTCAAAAGAGATAGAACCTCCACTAGTATGATGGACACACAATACACACAATATGGTACAAACTTGCAATGAACTGTCTTCATAAGCTTAAACGAGGATAAACCTTATAAACAATATATTTCATCCGAACAATTTAAATTATTAAATGTAACTGTTATCTTTTAAATAAACTCTCTTACGTCAAATCGGCTGAATCGGGGAACATAGATTAAAGCCCCATTCCCGGCAAAATTTCACTAAAAACTGACTTTTTTTAGAAAATATGCATTTGCATTACTCCAATTTTTATAAATCATGGAAAAATATTGGCATGAATTTTAGTTTTACGCAAAGAATAAAAAAAATGAGAAATACAGACTATTTCTCATAAAATATTACCATTTTCTCGACGAATTCATTGTTACTAGGCAAATTCAGAGGTTGTAGATCGCATCCACTGGAATACTCTCGCTTTTATGTATACTTTATACAGTCAATAAAGTGCGCCCTCTCTAATGACTGTCTCTTATACACATCTAGATGTGTATAAGAGACAGGAGATACATAATTTTTACACTATTAATAATAATAAAAATAAATAATAATAATTTTAATTGCATTAAGTAGCGTATATAGTGTTGTTCGCATCAGAGAGCCCTCTAGGCCTAGGCACTTCAATTCAACTATGGTGAAAACTACCCCTCTCAGACACCAGCTCAGTATTTTTTTATTCTACAGTAGGTTTTGGGGCCAGGATTTACAAAGTTTAATTGACTTAACTACAATCTCTTAAATATGGTTGAAAACAATTGTGCATTTCTTGAAAAAAGAATAAGTACAGTCGTATAATGTCATCTTTTATACAGGTAGTCCATTTTTTAATGGTAAATAAATAATTTATTTATTTTATGCAAATGATTGTTTTTTTTTTTAGGTGTCATTACAACCTGTGCAGATTTTGAATATGGGGGCAGAGGAGGAGAAGGCAGAGACGGCCCGTATGTCTTCATTCATTGGTGCAATTGCAATTGGTGACCTCATCAAGAGTACATTAGGTCCCAAAGGAATGGTAGGTTAAATATAGTATTTTTGGAAAATAATGTTTTTTAAATTTTAGAATGTGTATTATTTGACAGTTAAATATATATGTGTTTTTTTTTTAATTATAAGTTTGTCATATATGATTAATATTTTTGTTTAATACTGATCATATACATTGAATTAGTTTTTATAACTAATAAGTATCATATGGCTGGTCCTTATTGCTGTAATCCCCCAATATTCCACCCCCAGCCTGCCAAAGATTTTGATCTGGCCCGCGAAACGTTGCTAAAAGTAAATAATTTTCCAGCCGATTTTTCGAAAAAGTTTTTCTGTTTAGATCAATACCACAGAGGCACCCCTACTCTAACAATGTTTACAAGAGTGTGGCTTTTTCTGAGTGTAGCTCACTGTATCTAGTGGCGTAGGGTACTGGCACGGGGAGGGGTAAACTAAATGGGGACAGTGGATTAAGTGGGACACTGATATGATGTGATGTCTAACCATTTGCAGCACCAACAGGCTCAAGGCATGCTATTCTGTTGAAAACACTGCTTTAAAAACTTTTTGAGTCTGAAAGTGCAATTTCCAGAAGTGTAGAGGTATCTTTGTTAAAAATGTGCTCACCCCAGCCCTAACCACTGGTGAGTGGATATTTTTGAGTCTGAGAGTGACATTTTCGACCATCTAGAGGCTGTCTCTTATACACATCTAGATGTGTATAAGAGACAGGCATGGTGAAGGCTCGTTACGATTTGGTGGCACATTGATTGAGTATTGTTATTCATCTGGCCATGTAAATCAGTGGCGTATCTAGATGTCTTGAAATGGGGTGGCGGGGCTGATGTGGGCGTGAAGGTGAAGTGGCGTGGGTGTTTTATAGATTATTGAGAATGGTAATATAACCGAAAGAATAAATAAAATGACAGTTGAATGACGAACAAAAACAACTGAAGACAATTTATAAAGAAACAATACTGATAATAATGTTCATATCTTTGGTTGGTCAAATATGAATTAGCAGGAGTTAATAAAGTGTTTACAGTATTGTATGTATTTGTTTATCTGCGTCTGCGTGTTCTGGAGGTCAGACGCACTACATGGGAAAACCCAGAGAGTTAAAAATAGTCGTGGCGTGGGAAATAGTTGTTAATCATCCTGTGGGAAACAATGAGGCAATGCGTTTCGTGTATAAATATGGTCCGAATACATCAGGGTCCGATGTAACAAACAGTATAATGATGATATCAAACAGAATTAAAATTTTATACTTAATTTATCGCGCTTTGAGGTATTTATGTGTGCCTTAGTCCAACTTAATGCGACGATTTTTCTTACTGGCCCAAGCCTCTACAGCTTTCTTAAATGGGTATTCTTTTAGTGTTGGGCCTTCAATTACGATTCTCATGATTGCATCTAATGTTTCTTCCTTCATTCTATTTCTTAGACATGTTTTTATTAGTTTCATTTGGGAAAAGTCGCGTTCTACGTCGGCAGTGTGCGGTGGGATTGTCCTGTATGATTCAGCTAGTCCTGCAATGTTTGGATACAGCTGTCTCATTGGATTTGTACTCAGCAACTTTACTACTTCGCTGCTTGTTTTCGTAGCATAGTGGTCGATGATATACTGCTTAAGTTCCAACCATTCTTGATTCAAGGCCTGCTTGTGCGGGAATAGCGAAATTGTACAGTAATCATGAACAGATGCTCTCTGGTTAAGTAAGTATATAACTGGCATATAATTTGAGAATATATATATGAAAACTAATTCAAAAATGTGCCTGTAGTATATAACTGGCATTCATGTAACACTTTGTCGCTGTACATTAAAAAAATGTTTGCTGTAAGCTGTGATTTTATACTTTATTCTTAGCCTTCCGACCAGTGATTGCCACGGGTCGCGTAGCGCACAGCGTACGGGACATTCACAATCCCCATAGGCTAGGCCTACTTCTCTTTAAAAAATGTCCAAGTTTTACCATCGCTATATTTTACTCCCTTTGATGTATATTGGCTTAACCTCTCTGACATAAATGTTGGAACATTTGTCAGTGATTTGGTAAAAGAAATTTCACTTCTAAAAATACAGACACTGCAATTCTGATGTCGTTTACAACAGACATTCAGCGATTTAACTCGCTTCGGCCATCTTTACAGTGTATTAACTCGAGCGTTCAAAACAATAACAAACTCAATACCGCATACAGATCATGTGACTGATAGGACACCAGTGTCAATTTCCAGCTGATCACACAGTTTACTGTTCAGTCAAGTAGAACGTGAGCGTCCAATCAGCACTAAAGCCTGGCAGTTCCACTTGGTTGGTTTTCCGATGTTGTTTTATTTGCTAGGCTGCTTGCATGAGGTTTGAGGCTAGAAATATGTGATGATATCTCGCGAAAAAAGTAAGAATTCGGGATGGGCGGATATGTACGTTTGACGCTGGGCGGAAGGCATTAAATTTTGCTTTAGGCTGGGCGGTAGACTTTTAGACAGGGCGGCCCCACTTGGCTCCGCCCTGCACAATTACATCCCTGGCTATGACTGTATGTGTTGACTTTTTCAATCATTAAAAACCCGACTCAAAAGGGATAAGCCCTCATACTGTGTGCATAGCTGAATTTATATTTTAATTATTTATTTATTTATCACGGTATAAAAAAAAAAGAACACCAAAACACGGTGTTGCAAACAATACAAAAAAAAAAAGAAATATAGACAAATTTACCAGTAAAAATGTTTCAATTGGGAGAACACAGTATATACTACAAAATGAAAAAGATATGCAACAGAATAATAAGTTTCAGTCACAAATTTAATTTTTATTGATATACATGTCAGTACTGTAGCAGGGAGACATTCTACTGATATCATTCTAGCTGTGTTTAGAAGTGAACAAGCTTAACATTAATGACGTTAATTATCAAATCAAGTCTAATCAATGTTTTAAAGTAATTGCAATTTCATGGTTAATTTTAGGTGTTACTAAAGAAATAAAGAATTTTAAGAAATGTTTTTTTCTTTTTATTTTTTTATTTCTTTTAGATTTCATTCTTGTTTGGGAAGAAGAAAAACTAAATGAAAAACAACAGCAAAAGAAGGAAAAGGAGAAGAGAGAGCAGTTGGAGGCAGGCGAAGAGGATGAAGATGCTCTGCATGATAAATGGAAAAAGAAATTTTTGCATCATTTAGTTCAAGCAGGGTTAGAAATGGAAGAGGATGTTGTTGAAAGTGACAAGAAAATAGTTACATACGTGAAGCTACATGCTCCTTGGAGTGTGTTGGTGTTCTATGCTGAAGAGCTAAGTTTCAAGGCACCATTGCAGGTAAAATACATAAATTTTATTGTAATATAAAGTGCAGTGTGCTGTAGAATATGAATTGTAGATTATTATATATTTTTACCTTCATATCCATTTTGTATGTTTATAATTTTTTTTGTTGCCTGTAAATAATTTTTGGAATTTTGTAACTTTTAATGTTGTTGTTAGTTTGATGATTATCAAACTTTCACCCATGTTCGTTTATTTTGTTCTCTTGAGCATAAAAAGCAAACAATACAATATGAACTGTGGTGCAGTACCACCTGCAGAATGCAGTGCAAACCATTTGCAAAACTGCAGTGCAGCACAACATGAAGTGCAGTGCAAAAACTGGTGTCATTCTTCTTTCTTTTGGCAACATTTCAAAATGCTACTAGTCATTACGTGTACAAGTCCATAGAGCTTTTTTGCAAATACACCCAGAGTTTGGGGCCAAACTCTGGGTGTTACGTAACAACCAAGATCTACTAATCCCTGATAAACTCAGCAGGCTGCCAAGGATTACACTGATTAAAATTAGTAGATAACAGTGCTTACTAGACCTCCTGACTGGGTCTGGAAGGGGATTCAAAACAAGGAAACAATTTACACACGTCACAATAATATTACTGTTAAAATATAATATTTTAAAAACCATATTTTTATTTGTAACGAACTTGAAAAACTCCCAAATCCCAAATTACTCCATTTGTTGAGATTAAGAAATTAACAACAACATTTGAGGCAGTGAATCGCTATTTTTAGACATATCACCCGATTAAAAAATGCTGCTCCTCATTTTATAAAGAAAAATTAAATTTCTATATCTGTAATAACAATGAATCTTAAATATTTAAATTATTTATCCTACCTTTTGCTTTCCTAGACGCCTAGGCCTAGCCAGGCCCTGGTTCACGGTATGTTTACAACACAAATTCGCATTCATATAGTTTGTAAATACCAGCCGTAGTAACTCTAGGTGCACAGCTAGCCTTCAAGTTTGTTAAGTTGAACGGCATAAAATGTCTGTATTGTAAGTCTAGCAACTCTTTGGAGCACGAGTACCAATAGGCCGATTTTATTAATGTTTGAGTTGGAATGCAAACAAAACACAAGGAAGACTTGATGTTGAATGCAACTGAAACATAAACATATACATTTGATAAAACAACCTATATTATTTGAATTTACGTGGATTTCATGCATAAAACTAGTTATTTTATACTGAAATCGGCTGGAATCTGAAATAAAGCCCAGAAACAAGTCCATTGTATACTTGGTGAAACTTTCTTGTACAACATGCCTTTAAAGTACAGTAGTACAGTATTATAAGTATTAAAATGCATGCCATCGTGTTGGGATTAAATATTTCGATATTAAGCATGTCATTATCAGAAATGATGAATAATTTCTCAAATCTACAGGCGTCATACAAAAACAACAAATTATACCCTGTTGGAAAATGGACAGTTCCAAATCGCCCAATACTCGCACCACGTGTGGTTGATCATGCAAGCCTCGCGCTTGAGATTTGCTTGAGTAAAAGATGACAGCGCATTTTAATCAGTTATCTCCCTTGTTATATAATTATTTTATAACGAACAAAGCAGATTTCAGATTTGTTTTAAATTAATGTTAAATTTTCAACAACAATACAGTATACGCCTCTCGATTCGGAGGACCTACTGTACTGTAGAGGAGGATACATCTTTCTACACAGGCCTATGCCACCGTGGAGAGCTGTGCGCTAGTAGCATAGCATATACAGATAATAGGCATGGCAGATTTTATTTAGGCCAGTGTGTAACACTGCCTATACTTTGAATGTCTATGTACCTTCAATATTTTGATCTTATATTTTGAAGAAAAAGTAAAATATTGATGAGTTATTGAAGGAGTTATTATTAACAATTTATTTAATATTTAAAATAATTGTAAAATTGATAATGATGGTGATAATATTAATAACAATAATGATCACGATAAAAACAATTGTAAGAACAATTACCTTATAACCTAATAATACGGTGATAATGACAGTAACAATAATAAGATAATCTGAGATTACAAACCTTTGCCCCGTTGCGCAATATCTGTGTACTGAAAAAATAATGGCCTATAATATTCTTTGGCAGTCGGTCTATAGTGAGGTCCACCAGGGTTCGCGAATTACACACTCAGGAATGTTGGCCTAGGGCGCAGCCGTCGCTACGCACTGGGTCTGTTCTCATCTTTATTGTTTAAACTGTGATCGATTATACTGTAAACTGAAGAAATTAGAAATAATGTCTGGTTCTAATAGGCCCCTATCACTTAAAGCATAAATTATTTTAACTAAAATTCAGACTACAACACTTTATGAGATGACGTTTTCAATGGCTAATGATCTACACTGCCTATAGCCAGTAATAGGATTATAGGATTAACACTTCAATTATCATGAGCAATTACTCATATTAGCAATGTCTTATCAGCATTGGATGATAAAAAATTGTAAAATTTCTCTATGCAGTTGTACACGTCATGGTGGCAAACAATTGGGCCGTTTTCAGTCTAACTAATACGTAGAACCAGTGACAACTTCACAGCTTCGGGTCTAAATGTCACATAGTGATCATTAGAGTCAAAACCCCCAAAATGAATGGCAATTAAAGTCCACTTCTGTCACAAAGTTTCTAATGTATATTATTTTGTTGCTAGCGGCACTTTGGAGAACTCTCAGACAGTAGGCTTAAGCAGGCTTAAGGAGCAGTCTCATCTGGCGTTGGCTAGCATTTTTACTTTTCTGTTTTTCATTTTTTGTCTGTCAGTGTTGAAATGAAGACGAAATGGTATGATATGACATGTAGCACAGTCTTTTGAGAAAGCCACTGGATAAAGGACCCTCACTCTTTTTGTCCTGATAGAAAGATAATGAGAGTAAAGTTCAATGGTCAAATTTTCAGCATGATCGGTCCATCATTTTTAAGGAGCGCGAGAGCGATCGCGCTCCTGGACACGCTTTCAGGAGAGCAACTAGCCGCGCTTCTTGATTTACCAGGCAACTAAAACGAAAGCTAATGACAAAAATTGTATTTTGAAACTTTGTCCATAATCAAAATCTATCAAATTTTGCAACTAAAACTACAATATATTCTAGTGTATAAAGCCCCAAATTTTATACGCAATTTCAACCACGAAATTCAGGGTGCAGCCTATACACTGGACACTGGTCATCAACCTTCTAAAAAATTCTAGATCGCAGACCGCGGAGGCGAAAATTGTCAGGTTAGGCCCAGGCTACCCCAATTAATTAGCCTAGGTTTGCTGTTTAGTATTGTAATTATACTCACTATTGTGCGACAAATGATTCCTACGACATTCAAGCAATGGTTTAGGTTGCTTAAATAAATATTTTCACATTACGTTTATTCATAAACAATGTTTGAAACACATTGTACATGTTTGAACCCACTTCGCTAAAAACAATAACAAACACTTTTTCCCTCGAAGTCATGTGAGTAGCTTCACGAGCATCGTCACAAAACGCACATGGTTGTAAACTCTTGCACGGCGTCTTGTTGCTGGGAGGCTAGTAATGTTATAGAAAGAATGATACTGCTATGCAGTGTTTACTGTTATAATTTCAGAATAAAAACATGTGAAAATAATGTGCACTATAAAACATGAGTTTTCTTGAAGTTGTAATACTTACTTTTACTGTAATTTAACAGTAGAATGGAATACGTTATCTGCCAATGCGTGCACTTTGTATCACATGGTTCTGGGTTATGTTTGCGTGATGGATGTTGTTGCGTGATTTGCTAGAGTAGCAGGTCATGAGTACTGAGTAGTAATAATGGCTAGTTAGGCCTAGAATATTTTGAGTCATTATCGGTTTTTATTATTGATTGAATAATAGATAAATTAATGTGCTCACTATTTTCTAGTATATTAAATTAATATTTAAATTTGAATAAACTAAAATGACTGGTGAAACCCACACGGTCAGAAATTTAACGCAGAAAATAACATACAGACGTCTACGCGAAAAAAATGGGGATTTCCCTAGGTAATACGTTGTTTTGATGAGAGTTTTTCTGGAGAATACATGTATTTATAGTTGTTTGTTGTATAATCGCCCGATAAAGTTGAAATTTCTTTATTTTAATGTTTGCAAATATAATGTCAATGTTTCAAAATAGATAAAACTAACATTTTGGAAACAGTTTGGAGATTAAAATAGGTGTGGTTATACACAGATGACGCCAAAAAAACATGATATTCCGCGTCCTCCAGGCGTTACTTTGAGAGGGGTTGATTCCAAATGAGGCTCTGGAGTGAGAGTTTATTAGATTGGGGAAGGAGAGGATTTGTTGGGGTAGGGGGGTTTTTGTGGGGGAGGGGAGTTATTATTAACAATTTATTTAATATTAAAAATATTAATTAATTTATTAATTGATAATGATGGTGATGGTGATAATATTAATAACAATAATGATCACGATAAAAACAATTGTAAGAACAATTACCTTATAACCTAATAATACGGTGATAATGACAGTAACAATAATAAGATAATCTGAGATTACAAACCTTTGCCCTGTTGCGCAATATCTGTGTACTGAAAAAATAATGGCCTACGATCGCTCAGCTTGAGTCGGTTCGGCCTAGCCAAATGAGGCCTAGCATAATACGCCTGGCGTGACAAGCCCGTCAGTCAGTCGTGTTTGCACTCCGCCTGGACCGCTTCCAGTTCATTGGCCAGAATTTGACACACCCCCTACTCTGGCCACAGTCGATTTGTTCATGTTGACTCAGCCTATCCAAACGAGTTTAAATGATCCTCTCGAGATGGCTCTGTCTGTTGCAGGCACAAAATATAATAATTCCAAAAACTGCATCTTCCGATCAGCACCTAATTTAAGGAGGACCAAGGTAGGTGTAACATTGTCAATGTGTGAAAATTAGAAGTAAATCGGTCCAGTAGTGTTTGAGTTATGTGCCCGGGAGAGGACATGAATACGCACACTGATGTGCGCTACTGCAATGCTCTTCACTTCTTCTGAGAGGCGAGGGTAAAAATTAGAGTAATAAGATAATAATAATAATAATAATAATAAAAATAATAATCATAGAAATAATAAGAATAATATTAATAATATCAGAAGGTGTTATAGATAGAGTACTGTAAGAAACAACATTTTTTTTTGTTCTTGTTATCATTTGTAACATTTTTTGTACCATACTGTATTAATTTGTAAATCTTTTTGTTCATCTCGTATTTCCGTTTAGATTAATTTTTTTTCTTAGTCTTTTGATGTTGTACAGTATGTTTCTTTCGTAAATTGTAAGTGAACGCACCATCATTTTGATGTGTGCTGCTGATATAAAAGTGAAAGTGAAATGATTTAGTTTTAGAATATATTGTTGTGTCTCCACTTTATGTGTTGATCTGATTTTTTAGGGTTGTGTTGCTCTTGCGGTGCTATGTGAATGACCTTACTTTTTAAGATATATAAAAACGACCTACACTAACACCTTCTTGATTCGATGCCTTTCCAGTATGCGGATAGCACCTTTGTCTTCAGGTGTATTTATACCCCAATCGATGAAGTGATATTACAAAACATTATTAATCTATTTTTTTGTTGGTCGAAGATGCCACATCCAATATTGTTGCCATGTTTGGTACCCATTTTGTATAGGTCAAAAATATTAAATTGAGAAAATACAGAGACATTCAACTTGGTTTATTCGAGATCAAAAACTCCTGGAACATACATACAAAGTGAGTCGATTGGCCAAGCGGTTAGCAGGGGCGCCGCAAGCTATAGCCATAATATCGGCGTTGGTTCGGACGGCACGCTCGCCTATGGTTCTGGTGGTAGAACAAGTCTTCTCGGATAAGGACTATAAACCGTAGGCCCAGCGTATATACAATGGCTCGTGTGCACTATAAAGAACCCAGTACATCCTTCGAGACGAGTAGGGGGATACCCCGGTGTACTGGAACAGACCCCGGTGTGCTGGAACAGACAGCCCCTGTGGTGGATGACGAGAGTTGCTGGTACCGGGTTACCGGGTAGCACAGACACGAAGGGACTCTTAGGGGCGAAGAAAGTCATTGATCGAGTTCCTAGTCCACATTTCAAGCGCCCTGAGCATCTTGCATATGGATATATGCGCTGTATAAAACTACACTATTATTATTCTTATTATTAAATGTGGCAAGATATGGCACTTCAAATCTTTTGACAGACTTCATTTAGATATTATTTTATAGTTTTACTAGTAAATGTCTGTAATATCCTTATTAATTTTCCTAATAAATAATAGTATTAATTTCAAAACATTGATTATTAATAACCATCATCATGAGTTATTTACAATCATACACTTAAAATGTCAGAATGACACTTCAAGATACTTTATCCCAACACAATTTGTCTGAACTTGGCATAGTCTCCCAGCAGACCTTACAGTAGGAACTTTTTTGTTGTTTTGCTCATGTCTTGTTTTTTTAAAAGTAAAATTAGAAATTACTATAGAACTTCCTTTGGGACATACCTATTCAGGGGACACCCCTGTTAAGGGGTCACTTTTCCATGAACGAGGAGCAATATATCTTTTAACACTACAGCCAATCCCAATTAAGGAGACAGGGACACTTTCTGAGTGTGCCAAATGGTCAAATAACCCATATTAAGGGGACAATTATTTTTTTTTCATTGTATCACAATATCTACAGCACTCTAAAAATAACAAAAATTTATTCAATTTTACATTTTGACACCTTTTGAGCAATAAACCAGTATTTTTTTCCCTTAATGTATGAGTGAATATCAGTATAGGCCTACTGAACTTTGTAAATGAATCTTGTCGATTTTGACCCTTAACAATGGGGGATTTCTTTTTCTATGTTTTTTGTGTATTTCATACAGGATTCTAATCCATATCAAAACACATTTACTCTTTTCATGCTACATTTATCTTATAGAAAGCCCTAGTGATTGTTGTTATTTGTAAATAAACCAGTATTTGTTTACCATTTTAGGACATTTCACATACACATTACAAACATATTAATCACATTATACTATTTGAAACCATATGGAATTATTTGATCATTTAATAGAAAGCTCAATAAAAAAAGAATATTTGCTTAATGAAATATATTAGGAACATATAAACTATTGTTATTTTAATTACATTTCTTCCGGTTTTATTTTATGAATGAATTGTATTTCCATTGCAAATTATTGCTATAAATTAGTTCTTATTCTACTGTAACTGATTCTTATATCAATAAAGATAATATTATAGAGAATGTATGTCATCGTTATATACCAAAAACCCTAATTAAGGGGACAATTTTATGTTTTTGGTTAGTTGTCCCCTGAATAGGGGTATTCCTATTCTGATACCCCTATTCAGGGGACACTTTTTTTGGTCCCTAAGGTGTTTATAATCTTTTTTTTACTCATTCATATTTTGTATGGAATAGCACATCCTTTTTGGGTAACAGTGGCTCCTTGGCACTGATTTGAGTTTTCTTGTAATTTTGGCCATGTTATTTTTCCTGGAAATTAGTTCTGTATTTTGTTTTGCTCGATTTTAATGTATTGTGGTATTTTCTCGCCAAAAAGAATAAAATAGAAAAAAAAATAATTAGATCAAATTGAAACATCAGTAAGTTGTTACAGTACTTCTGAATTTTTGATAATCACAGGCACATCCCAATCCAAGCTCAAACTGGTCATCCAAGGTGTTGAATTTTTTTCACATTCCCAACATGATGGCACAGACAGTTCCTAACCAGCCCCTTGACTACTTCACCTGCCCATTCAAACGATCAAAGCTTGACAAGTAAGTTCATGTTCATCATCTTCTATAATTATTATTATCATGTTAATATTAATAAGTTATTTACTTAAAATTCTGTAATACTAGTTGACATTAAGCATTTTGCTGAATATCATTTAATAATGAAAACATAAGTATTGTGCATTAAATTGTATTTAATACTATGTTATTCACACTATGAATATTCACTTTTAATTAATATAATTTTGATAATAATGTTTTACCTAAAATACATTTAAGGCTTATTCGATGAATTGTAATACTGTAATACCTTCCTGTATTTTGCCTGTATGTTTGGCATTGCATACAGTAATGCCATTTTGAAATTTCTCTTTACAGTGAATTGATTTTATGATCAAATCTTTTGTGCAGTTATTGGTTATGACACGTTTTATAGAATTTCTATCTGCATATGTGGATTATTTTGTTACTGCATTGATTTCAGCTTCAACAATGATTCATTTGTTGTTGTTGTCACAACTTCCAAGGTACTGGAAATGCTTTCACACCAGCATGCTGTTGGTAAATTGTTATCATGTACCTGCTAATTCCATATCACTTGCTACACTGTTGTCTAATTTGTAGTATTTTGCATAGTGCCTGCTAATTCTTTACTTCGTATTTAATCCCCAGTTAAAATCTATCATCATTACCATAGTAAAAATGCTTAGTGAACTTTCAACTTAACATTGCATTGGATATTTTTTTTTTGAAAGAGAGAAATAGTTTATTTTTTTGTTTTTGCCATGTCCATCCATTTCATTCACTCACAGCAGTTTTTAACCATGTGTTTTTATGATAGTCACATTTGTATATTTTTTTTTCAATATTTGGTTGTAAGAGATGATGATGATGATTTAAGGAGTTGGATTATTGCTAAATACTATGATAATTCCTTCTTACTTGTGCAACTAGCTGTTATTGATTGTACTGTAACACTCTAATTTTCATTATATTTTTTTCTAAGCTAACCATATAGCCATACTCACCATATTTTAATAGTGATTTGTTTATAGAAGAACCAGTGTTATTTATGTTCTTATCTGCATTCATACTCAAGACATTTAAGGCTGTTTGATGAATTTTAATATTATCCCAAGTGTGTTTTGCCAGTACGTTTGGCACATTGCATTTACAGTGATGACTTCTTGAAATTTATCCTTTTGTTAATACTGTCAATCCTACAATTATGAAATAGTTTTCAACAAAATTAAGTTTTCTCTGATTTACATAATTTAAATAATAGTAAATAATGTCACTTCAAGGTGCTCATATTCATCTAACAGAACTGCACACAGCATTTTTTTTTATCTGATAAGGACAGCTCTTTCTGCATTTTTAGTTCTTATGCATGTAATGCAATAGGAACTATTGTATTCACTTTTTTGCGTGTGTGTGTGTGTGTGTGTGTGTGTGTGTGTGTGTGTGTGTGTAGACATCTTCAGGTAAAATTTTCTGACATGCCTAATGGTACCCTTGGGATTAGTTTTCTAAATAGCCATCCATCACTTTATTCCCATTGCACTCAATCTTGTCAGACTGGCCCACATTGCCCTTTTAGAAAATATCAAGGCGTCATTAACATACTAGTGCAAAGATCACTAACATAACAAAGTGTTGTGTTTATTGATACTGCATTTAGTACAGTAAAAAATAATTTTCAAATAAAACCAAATATTGTTATATTACTGTAATTTTATTTTTGTCCTAAATTTTTTTTTTTTTTTTTTACACAGACATTTGACCCAAACTGATTACTTCATAAGTTTTGTTGATCACTATAATACTGAGTCTGAGTGATTTAAGGAAAGAATTTGTATTAAAACTGTGTACAAAGTGGTGGGGGGAGGGGGAGGAGGGAATCTGCGCCTCCCTGAATACGTAACTGCGTAAGTTAATAACAATCCATATTAATAAAAGTATCACAGTTGATGTTTTAATTAGGCCATACAGTAGGCCTACATTTTCGCTAACACAGCAAACGGCCTAAATATGTTTTCAAATTTAATATTTCGTGTATAAAATTCAGTCATATAACTTCTCTATTATTCAGCATAGGAATGTTGACGCCTGTTAAGGTGGTTTAATATATTGTTGTCTAGTAGGCCATGCCAGCTCCCCCACCCCTGTTATCGTTCCAAATTACAAAATGAAAATAACTGTATACCTAGGCCTACAAAATTTAAAACAATAAAATTTTTTTTAATTTTTTTTTTTAATGATTCTACTAACTGTAATTTGCTTATTAAATAACATAACCAATGTGGACGAAAATCACTATTTTGGACCATAAAAACTCACTCCCCTCTGAATTGTTCAAGTTAAAACAACCACACAATTTGACCCAACCTTATATTTTCTGATAAAGTCATGCATCATGCATAGGAACGTTGACGCGTGCAAGGCTCCGGTTTTATTTTCTTTTATTTAATTTAATTTTATTAATATTTTATTTTTATTTTAAGAATTCTGCCGGCCAGTTTAAGGTTCTATCTATGCATTATATATTATAAGCAATTAAGCAATACTTTCCATTGATTTATAAAATGGGTACAGTTCCTTGGCTCTCAAAATTCGTTTCTAAGTCACTCAAAATGTTGTAGTAGCATGTTGTTGTAGAGTGGGTACCCATCTCTGCCCAAATGAAGTGAGCAAAATTTCCAGGATAGACAGCTAGACATGCGGAAATTATACTATCATTGTTTAAAGTGCTTTGATTTATATCTCCACAAAAATAAAAGGCAAAAATTAATCATTATACCATATTTTTTTTTTAATAGGATCTGTGTGTGTGTTTTTGTAATGTGAATCCTTAAAAAACATTGTTAATATTCCATAATTTCACAAAATCCCATTAGTCTGAACTTTATACAAGAGCAATGTGCATGCATTTTTTCCTCAATTGACAAAGTCCCACAAGGTACAAACTCATTAGCTTCATATTGTATGATACAGTAGCTCTAAAATTATGGTTTGTGTGAACACACCAGTGATATCTCATTAACATAGAATGAACGCTAATCTGAGTAAAGAGAGGGAGGCTATGATTTAACGTTTCGACCTTTATTGGGTCATCTTCAGGAATTAGAAAACTTTGACGCTGATTAAAAAAAAAAAAATGTTGCAATACACAAATGAGGGGATTAATACAGCTAGTACAACAATGGTGAATATGAGAGAGGCAATCAATAATAATAATTCTTTATTAGTTCTTAACTCATTCAATTAGAAATCGGTTACTTGGGCTGCGCCCATAGGGACCCGCGGCAGCCGCAGTGCAACGATACCCAACATAACTACAACATATAGCGGACATAAACGGATACAAACATTGTCCTTGACCCATCTAACTCTCAACATGAGGGTTATGCGAAAAGCCAGGCGATCAGACTCCAGTTAAAACCAAACGCTGGCCAGGTATTAGCCAGGGTCTTCAGCACAAGAAGCAGGAACAACCTCTCAGCCAACTGGTCTTGATGCTTTGAGACCACAGTTTAATCATGAACCATGGTTTAATTTACATTTAAGGTGATGAATGGCAAGGGCCTTCTTTAATAGCAAATGGGACCAGAGGTGAACTATGAATTATTGTAGTGTTGGAATATGTTTAAGGATTTGTAATTAACAAAGAAATCATCTTTAAATGTGTTAGGCAAATTATGAAGTTTTAAAATATATTGAAAAATCATTGCAAGACTAAATATTATTGTGAATAACACTGTTAAACATTGTAGAATGTTCAGATACTCTAGTTATAAGGCACCTGTGTGCCTACAATATAGTATTGCAGTAACAGTGATTAATTGTAAAGACCTGCTGTTTCCAGTCAAGTTCTTTTAATAGTGAATTATGGGCAGTGCAGTGAAGTTGGATACAATTCCCTTCTCTTTTCTGAAGACTGCCTTAGACATAGACTACATTGTTGGAGTAATTTATCAGAATGAATTATAAGGAGACAGCTCACACATTATTTAAACAATTCTTTTAACGTACCATACTTCCGTGAGTGGGCCGGAGCGCATAAAATATTTTGGCACTTTTTGAGGGTTCTTATTTAAAACAGGGCGCTTATTCAAACGGGCGCTTAGGAAAACACGAGTGGAAATTGAGGAGTCGCTTATGGAAATAGATGAAAATTGAGGGGTGCTTATGAGGCTTTTTGAAAGAAAAAAGATTATATAAGGACTTCTTGCAACAGAAGATAAACGAATGGTTCTGGTGCAGAAAAGGTAATTGTCATGGCTCGTGGCAAGACTACTGTGGGCATTTACATAACAGCAGATGAAATTAGTGGCGGTGGTGGTAAGCTTGTTGGTCATTTAACGATTGGGATTAGCAGGATCATTGCAGAGTTTTGTTGCAAACTCAAATGAGAACGTTCTAAAAGTATGAATTGTCATTCCCGGCTGATTCATTGCCAAATGTAAGGAGAGGAGAGTTGGAAAAATACTGTGCAGAGAGCTCTTGTCTAGGAGAAATATCCTTATTTTGAAATTGACATAGGCCTATTGTAAGAAGAATATTTGAATCTACTCTACAGCTCAAGTCAGGCAACCTGCAGTTCCAGGATTGATTGGATTATTGGCTTGCTAAAAAAAAAAACATCACATGATAGGGCGCTTATTCAAACAGTTGAGCAACTCAGCTAAAGCGATCAGGTTATAGATGGAAAATAGTAAGAATTCGGGTTCGAAGAGCCTCTATTTTGGCTATCTTTACAGTTCATCAGGGTTTGTCATGGAGAATTGTAATTAAATTTGGCTCTATTGTCGTACCTGCGGACGTAAGCTTATGCCGATAAAAAATAACCACAGAAACTGACGACACAACCTCAGAGGCCTAGGGCCTACTACTCAAGTAGTAGGCCAAGCCAAGTACCGTAGTAGAGCCAGGCTATTTATTCCATATTCATTGTGTCGAGAGATACGGTGCCGTACACTGAAGAGGGTTAGGGTTAACTTTTAGTATTGTCGAAATACCGTATGTTACCCATGCTCTATTGACCCGTAAATAGCCACACACTGACAGCAGTAGTAAGTAGAGAAGGGCTTAGCCAAGCTAGTGGGGAAGGGGAATGAATAGAAATAAATAAAATAATATTAAAAATAATTATTAATAATTAATTTTATTATTATTATTAATAATAATAACAATAATGGTAAAAATGCGGTTTGGCTCAGTGGTTTTCATTCTAGTTTTTGAACTTGTAGTTAGCAGGAGTTCTTGGGCGGCCATGTACATAGATAACCAAATTGCATTTTTGACAGGCTGTCAAGTGGCTGAGGCTATGAAGCAAGCATTTTCATGGCATATAAATAAATTGTAGATAAGTATTAAGCCTCTTAAAACAAAAAGCAGTAATAGGATGGAGTCCCCCATGGATGGCAAAACAAACAAGGGAAGACAAAGTATAAAGATGAAGAGATGTGATTGATACAAGATTGATTTGGCGTCAACATGCTGAGACTTTCGTCCAGCATGGATCTGCATTAGCTGATGATGAAACATCTTAAGGTTTTCAATGTAGTCCCCCATGGATGACAAAACAAACAAGGGAAGACAAAGTAAAAAATGAAGAGATGTGATTGATTTAAGATTGATTTGGCGTCAACATGCTGAGACTTTCGTCCAGTAAAAACAGTACCATAAGGCGAAAGTAGTGTCGCTAAGGGGAAACTAAAGCGACGTTAAGGGGAAATCATAGACAAAAGAGTTTCCCCTTAAATATATATATATATATATATACATAGTATATAGTGTCAAATTGATTAGTGTCTACATCTAGTAGTTACAGATATGAAACGCCTATTTGCTTTAATTGATTATATAATTAAACTAAATTAGCAGTATAGTAGTTACAGAGATAAAAATCCACTGAACTCTTAGTTGGAGGTGCAGTTCAGGTCGCTTTTGTATCATACATTCAATTAGACCGACTTGATTTGATTTATTATATTTCTTGTAAGTGAAATTGTCTTCTGACAAAATTCGATGAAATTAAACCATGCGACTTGGGTCAATGATAAATATCGGCATATTTGTTTTAAAAATAATCGAATCCTATAAACAGAAACAAGTGTAAATGAATAATTTGAGATCTTTATCAAGTCTCTACAACCAGTATGTGTAGGGATGCATATGCATTGAAACATGTCAAAGGTCAGAACAGCATTTCCGGTCATTTTTTAGCAAACTTTTCTATAATTCCAAATAGAAACGCGAATGTTTCGAACAAATTGGTACCAAAATTAACTCTCTACCACAGTGGTTGTGGAGATATGAGGATTATGTGGCTATGACCTTTAAACATGTCGAAGGTCAGAAACGGCTTTTCCGGTCATATTTTAATAAAATGTTCTATTAGAGCAAATAGAAACATGAGTATTCCTAACAAATTGGCACCAAAATTAACTCTCTACCACCAGTGGTTGTGGAGATAATAAGGACTCAATAAATATGACATTTGAAACATGTCAACGGTCAAAAACAGCATTTCCGGTCATTTTCTAGCAAACTTTTCTATTAGACCAAATAGAAACATTAATATTCCGAACATATTGACACCAAAATTAACTCTCTACCACCAGTGGTTGTGAAGATATGACGACCCTATAGTTATAACATTTGACCCTGACCTTTTGCCACATTTTGAAAATGTGTTACCAAGCCAAAAATGATTCTTGGACCACCCTAAACCAATTTCTGTCAAAGTCAAATTCTCTGGACCTCAATGTGCATACAAAACCTAGTCTGGCTACTAGGGTATATAGGCTAAACCTTTTGGAATTAATTTATGGCAATGAAAACCGAATTACAGTAAACAAAAATACCCTTTTGAATTAATTTATTCACAATTGTAAATACGGTAATTTAAATTTCGCTATACCCTTTGGAATTTAATTTAAGTTTAAGTAAATAACAAAATTCACACAGATAAATTTGGAATTGCCTGTAAAAACAAATTAAATAAGGTAAAAATGTTGTGCCGTTTTTTTTTTAATAGGAAATATTTCTGGTTTTAATTTAGTTATGCACAGTATAGTTACTGGTAGTTTTGGCTAGATTGTTCTTGTAAGTGGAATAGGTCTGCTTTCTGCATTCTACTTTAAAAGCATCCTTTAAGCCTTTCACTACAGGAATTGTCCAAAGATTTATTTATTTTATTATTTATTTGAACCATATTTAATGAGGGTGAACCATCCAGCAGAAGCTGATCATTTGGGACCCTCAAAAAGATGTCTTGCCTTTAACAAGACACACAGTATGCTAATTTCTGTTTCCATATTGATGCACAATAAAATTAATAAATACACATTACTAAAAAGTAAAATTCCGTTATATGCTCCATGTACTTATTTCAAAGTATGAAGTACATGCTGATTTAAGTAACTTTATTTACTATGGTGTAAAGAAGCATTTCAAATACTGTAGGCCTTGAATATTCAATTGTTTGAGATTTAATCTATAAAATTAAACCTAAATATATACTGCTGGTGTTGGACTAATAGTCCAACACCAGCAGTATATATTTAGGTTAATTTTATCATTTTGTTATTGCATATTAATGACTCTTAATTGTACAGGTCTTCTTCTAATTAAAGACCCCTCCAATTAAAGACCACCTCCAATTGAACACCACTGTTATGAGGCCCCAAATGAATGCCTCTTTTATTATAATAATTTTTTTCTAATTAAATTACAAGGCTGCAAGGACCATGAAAACCCTGATCCCAAAAGTGGTATTTTAATTGAAGGGAGACCTGTATTAAAAAAACATGCAAACTCTGTGTGCAGTTGTGCTAATGCATGTGTGTATTTTTTAAATTTCATCTTCTGAGTGCTTACAGTATTATACCATTTCATTATTTTCACAGTACATCTAAGTTTAACTTTTCAGTTTTTGTATGACAATAGACCGAATTAGTCAATAACTGTCACCGAAATCTTGTATGTTAAAACCACTGAGAGGTTTTGAATATCTCAAAATTAAGTTAACTTGCTTTAACATGTATACATAAAGCATAATACTATCCCACTAAGACTATATAACTTAATTTCGCCAAAAATGTCATTTATGCCCTTTTGCCATGGGAGGGGGGAGGGGCAGTATAGTACATACATTTTTGTAAATTTATGTCAAAAACTATGTACCACTCATGTTTCTTCTGGTTGGATAACCCAGCAACTTAGATGACTGATTCAGTCTATTGACTATATTATGTAACTTAGTGAATGTGAATGTGTATGATGTGAGCTGTAGGTAGTAATTTTATCAGTTTGTATGCACAAATTTTTTTTGTTGTGTATTGAGTATGATTCAGAAAATGTGTGTGAACATCAGCATGTATGACCCATGAAATGTGTGTCAACTTAGCATGTATGACCCAATGTGTCAACTTAACATGTATGACTCATAAAATGTGTGTGAACATCTGCATGTATGACCCATAAAATGTGTGTCAACTTAGCATGTATGACCCAATGTGTCAACTTAACATGTATGACTCATAAAATGTGTGTGAACATCAGCATGTATGACCCATAAAATGTGTGTCAACTTAGCATGCATGACCCAATGTGTCAACTTAACATGTATGACTCATAAAATGTTTGTGAACATCAGCATGTATGACCCATAAAATGTGTGTCAACTAAGCATATATGACCCATAAAGTGTGTTTGTAAACTTGTAGTACCATGTGTATGATTTGTAAAATGTGTATGTTAACTTGTAGCAGCATGTAGGACCCATAAAATGTATGCATGAACTCAATTAAGCATGTTTGACCTACAAATTGTATGTGAAGTTGTAGCAGTTTATATGACCAATAACAAAAAATGTATTTGTGTAAATTAAAATTGTAGGTTTCTGGGAGGAGAAAACAAGGATCATTTCTTTTCAAACACTGAGCGGTCTGCTATTGTCAATGAGATTCTGCAGACTGCCACTTACGGCAAAAGGAAACGAGCTGAAATTGGTATTGATCGTCTTGTTGATGAGGAGGTGTTTAGTGCTGCCTATCCCCTGCATGATGTAAGCTTGATTTATATGTGCATAATATTGTAGTGATGTATATAGTTGAAAGAAGTAGTATCTTGAGCCCGTATTGTGGACTAGATACATACATTTGTGAGAATTATCCATCAAATGATGTTGGGAGAAAAATAATACACATAAATAATTTCATACATGCCAACCTCCTGATTTCTGATGTCAAAAACGCCAAAAAATCTGGACGTCCATATTTTTAGAATAAAAAAAATGCAAGAAGTATCCACTACTTGCCAGTGTGATGAAGGGAATATTAGTCCATTGTTCCCCGGGTATAATCCCATCCCCAAGAATGCGAAACTGTCACGATTTTGGGGGTGGGGGGCCCGAATTATACCCGGGGATTCCATAGGCCTAGTGTATGAACAGACGAAAATGACGATCGTTTTGCGAGGTGGTTTTTACCTACGATTCAATAGCCTATCAAAACAATATTCGAGCAAAGAAATCAGTCTTGCATGATGTAACAAGTTATTTTTAGCAGCGAATCTCTGTGGAAACACCTGAGTCATCACGCTGTGAATTAACAATCCGATCAGCCCACTGGGCAGGTCTTTTCAGGGACGGACCGCGGTGTTGTCTATTTTTAGCCGCAGTTAGCGAGCTGCTTATTTTTAGTGACAGTAAACAACAAAATAATTTACAAGATTGGGCTTTGTATTCAAATGGCGACCAATGTCTGTTGTAAGCAATTTTAAGAGTTTCAAGTCGGCAGAATTCGGAGACAATTCCTTTATTTTTTGAGCATTTGTTAAATTTACCGACCTAGGCCGACTTTCCCAATCCTCAGACCCTGAATACCTCCATGCTGGGACTTTACCCGGGGAAATTCTTGATAACTGTTTGAACCCTTAAAATAGATGGGGTGGTTACTGAGAGATGCAAAGTGTTCAAACAATTGCATGTTTTACTCGGTTTAATCCTGAAATATGCACTGCGCACTGTAAACAGAGCACAAGTGAACAGAGAAAATATATGAATCATTCATACTTGTTGTTCTTTCCACTTGCTTTGAAAAGTGGGGTTTTAAATATAGAAAAGTGAGGGGGAACATCTGATAGGATGATCCCCCACTTGGAAAATTAGGGGGATGCCCATGACAATAGAAGATATTTTGCAGCTTTTAATAATGGTATTGAACATTTATAGGGTCCATACGAGAAGCCTGAACATTATGTGAGTGAGGATACTTTAAATAAGCGGCAAATACTGCATGAGTACTGGGGACGATGGGGATGCTGGAACAAGTATCAACCTCTGGATCATATCAGAGAATACTTTGGAGAAAAGATTGCCATTTACTTTGCTTGGCTAGGTATAATGTTGTTTTGATTTATTAGTTACAAACTATGCAAACCTACCAATTCTCTTGCATTAAAGGTCTCGCGCTAAGGATGCGAATCACATGCCTAAATGTATTGCCTACATTAATATAAAATATGTGTACTGTATATATTTGTGACCTTTGTAGCTGTCTACTAAACATTCTTCATCTGTACTTAAAATATTGTAACATCATGTATACCAACCAGCCCTGCATCAACACTGTGAATATGTTGTTTTATGAAGTACTGTCATATTTAAAGTTCAAAGGACACGTACACAAAGCTCCGTGCGTAAACACTTCAAGCTCATGAAAGGTGCGTTTGGACTACCTGAACTGCGAGTAATCTTTTATTAAAAGAATGCAGATCCTAAATACATTTCCAGGCATCTTGGAAATAAATTTTCCAGGGGTAGGGGAAGAGTATTGGTTAGTGAAATTGTAATCATATGACTAAAATACTTGCTGGTGACTTGTGTCTAGACCATTGCAAAACTTTTGTGTAGATGAATGCAGCAATTAAACAAGACAATTCCATGCATTAATGGTAAAGAAATATTATTTCCAAAATAATCAGTTTTGTAGTTATAAAAAATGTTGCCAGTTATCATTTAAGAGAAATAACGTATGTTTGAAAATGCCACCATTTTAGGCTTCTACACAGCATGGTTGCTGCCAGCATCTGTTGTTGGAGTGCTTGTATTCCTGTATGGTATCGTAACGATAGGCAACAATATCCCAGCGTAAGTACAGGATTTTCACTACAATTTCCTCCAAGGAGACCTTCAATGCCTCGTAATATGGTTTTGTTTGTACAAAAATTACACATTTTCATTTAATTTTTGTTAATAATTTACATTTTTACTAACATCGAGGAGCATTGACCCTTATATAATCCTTTGTTACACCCTGGTGTTTGATGTTAATATGGCGTCGAAACCTAGACCATATACAGAACAAGAATGGCTAACTGAAAGGAATGAAAACAAAGGTCATGATCAGCATACTCAAGAGATCAAAATTGCAATATCGTGGACATCTTAGACCATGAAAGATTCATGAAGGAGTACAGTATACAAATACAACATGGTTTGAGATGAAGTAGTGAATTCTACTTGCTGAGGTGTTGAAGAAGAGGGATGTAGTCCAATCATTCAATAATGTGTGAAGTAGAATTCACTGCTTTAATAAAATAATACCATGTTAAACAGCAAACTGTCCTTCTACGTTAGCCATTACGATCTGTGAGAGTACAATTACGCAGTTTGCATAGGTTCACATAGGCAGGGATGCGGTAGTCTATTTTGGGTAAATTTTGCATGCACTGGGAAGTAGTAGAAACTATTGCACCCCTCACCAGGTTGAATTGACCAATGGAATGTTGTTATTAACTAATTATCAAATGTATACTAATAATATCTTAGTGATGTAGTCTTTATTAATTTGTGTAATTTTTCTTAGTAAAGAAATTTGTGAAAGTGGTGATATGTATCTAATGTGTCCGTTGTGTGATGAGCAGATTGGGTGCCCGTACTGGAACTTATCAGATACATGTTCTCCTGCAGAGGTAGGTTGTTTTATTTAACTAATCATCCTTAAATGTAATTTGTATTTTAATACTATTTGTTTTTGTTTTATGAAACCATATTTTGAGAGGAAAACTTAACAAAGCTGAGTAGAAAATTGTACTATATACAATAGTACTTACTCATAAGGTCATTAAGCATTTGGAGGGAAAGGCAACTTGTGCCAGAATCTTGTTTCTGGATTTCTTATCAGCCTTCAGTACAATACAGCCCTATTTACTGATGAAAAAACTTACAGAGATCAATGTTAACCCAGTTTTTAATATATGGATATCAGAATTTTTAACTAACAGGTCACAAACAGTATGTTTTAATGATATTTCAGAGCCTAAACTATCTAATACTGGTTATATATATTTAGGTATATTTATTGCAAAAAAGAATCGCACAAACTACAGTAAACAGTCTATTGCAGCATAAGCTGAATTGAGAGACTGAAAAATTATTACAAATATTGGCCATTAAAAATTTACAAATCATTATTAAAGTAGAGCAATATTAAACATTAAAATTTACATTAATACCTTAAAAATTACAAAGACGTATTACATATTAAAAATTCAAGAGAAATTAAACAATTGAGTCTCTAAAAACATATAATTTCATCATAAAAAAAAAAAAAAATTAAATTTACATTAATACCTTGAAAATTACAAAGACGTATTACATATTAAAAATTCAAGAGAAATTAAACAATTGAGTCTCTAAAAACATATAATTTCATCATAAAAAAAAAAAAAAATTAAATTTACATTAATACCTTGAAAATTACAAAGACGTATTACATATTAAAAATTCAAGAGAAATTAAACAATTGAGTCTCTAAAAACATATATATTCTTTATATGGCTTATTAGTGCGTAGTGTCATGGTGTGACATGCATCATTAATTGGAAACCAATTATGAAATCTATTAGATTGTACTGCTTTTTTAGCAAATTTTGTACATAGTGAGACCCTACGGTCAGACAGTCTCTCCAGTCCTAGCTGCAAAAGGGCATCACTATAACTAATAAACTTATCGGCTAAAATGCACCGACAAACTCGCGTTTGGGTACGCTCAATCGCCATGCTCTGTTGTTTAGTTAAGCCTGGGTGCCACAGAGGCGCAGCATACTCAAGAACAGGCCGTACATAACTCCTGTAGATCGTTAGGAGTTCATCACAATTGAAACCAGCTCTCCTCAACGAGCACAAAATAAAAAGTTTACAATTTGCTTTGGCAATGATAGCATCAGGATTACTTGACCATTTGAGGTCGTTATCAAAGACCACCCCCAATAACTTAACAGAATTTACAACAGGAAGATTTTCATTAGAGATGTGGAGGCTGATGTCTGGAAGTGGTCGACGACCAAAGTAAAATCTAATCACCTGGCATTTGGAAGGGTTGAGCTTAAGTTTATTACTTTTGGTCCAGTTGTAAAGGTTGTCAAGGACTGCTTGCAAATTACCAGGTTCACCAAATTTAGATGGTTTGGTCGTCAACATACTTCCAGGCATCAGCTCCCATATTTTCAACATTTTGTAAAGAGTCATTGACATAAATTAAGAAGATTAACACTGCTAATAGGGTTCCCTGAGGAACCCCACCTGTGAGGGTAGCCCATTCAGATAACGCCCCTTTATAAATAACACGCTGAGACCTTTGGGAGATAAAGCCGACTATCCACTGAACTATTTCAGGAGGTACATTCATTTGCAAAAGCTTCTCAAAAGCAATGGTGTGATCCACCATATCAAAAGCCTTGGAGAGGTCAGTCAACACCAGAGTGCTGATATTGGCCGGCATCTCCAAGGCACTCATGATATGGTGGTAAACAATGAGTGGTTGATACACCCTTCTGATTGCCATATTGTCGACTGTCTAAACTACTAGCTATCTTATCAGTAACAATTTTTGCCACTCTGCTTTCAGCAATTTTTGCTAATGTTGGCGTTAGAGAGACAGGATGCAATTTGTCAATGGTAGCCGGGTATTGCTTTGGTACAGGGACGACATTGGCCTTTGTCCACTGAGAAGGAACCTTTGCTTGCGCCAATGAAGCATTGATAATATCTGTAATGGGAATGCTGAGCTCAAAAGCACATTCTTGTAAGATCTTAGGAGGAATGTTATCAGGTCCTCCAGACTTGTTAATATTAATCCTTCTCAAATCATTATATATTTCCCAGGGTTCAAATTGAGGAGGTGGCATAGAGCTAGGTAGGTATGCTGGGAGATGATCAATACATATAGGCTCCTGTAGTTGGGAGAAGCTGGCTAAATGAGCATTAATAGCATTAGCAGCAGCTAAACAATCATCAGGATTGATATTAGGTTTAGTTATAGTTGGATCTTTCTTTGTTATGTTGGCCGCTATATGTACCGCTCTATGCCACCTCCTGGGGTCAGACTGACGTAGTGGTCTGACCTTCCTGGCGTTAAAATTTTCTTTGGCCTTTCTAATTTCATAAATAATTAAGTTTCTCAGCTTTTTTCTACGGGATACATTACAAGCCTTAAATGCTCTTTGTCGAAACTTTATCAATTTCTTAATTCTAGCATTTATCCAGGGCTTATCACTATTATGACATTTAAGTAATTTTGTAGGGAGGTATTTATCAATAGCAGCCTGCAACATGTTATAAAAATGTCAGCCTTTCTTTGGATATTAGGTTCAATTAGAATTTCATCCCATGTTCTGTCCTGGGCCCATCTGCCAAAATGAATTAATTTAGATTCAGGAATTGGTCTAACAGTTCTGACTTCGATATAGTTATTACTTTTGAAACACTTAGGGGTTAGTGAAATCACGTTGTGATCACTGCGCCCAATTGGTGCAGTGATTAAGGGATTTTGGTAAGAGTCATGCAAGTTGGTGATGACAACATCTAAAATGTTGCATCCTCTTGTGGGTGCTTTCACAATTTGCTTTAATCTGTTACCAGAACATAAGCTTTTAACAGACAGTTTATTAAGGTCTCCACATATCAGTGCTCCACAAGGATGCAGTTTATCGCCCGTTCTTTTGTCACTTTATTAAAGCGATTTTATATCACCCATATGACAGTTGTTCTTACATAAAATATGCTGACACCTGTCTTGTTTGGTTATTCAAGATAATAACATGTTGATAAACATAAACAGCATATTGATTCTTTCGTTGATTGGTGCTTTCGTTGATTGGTGAGTCGAATGGCCGAGCGGTTAGCAGGGGCGCCGCAAGCTATAGCCATAATATCGGCGTTGGTTCGAACGGCACGCTCGCCTATGGTTCTGGTGGTAGAACAAGTCTTCTCGGATAAGGACTATAAACCGTAGGCCCAGTGTATACAATGGCTTGTGTGCACTATAAAGAACCCTGTACATCCTTCGAGACGAGTAGGGGGATACCCCGGTGTACTGGAACAGACAGCCCCTGTGGTGGACGACGAGAGTTGCTGGTACCGGGTTACCGGGTAGCACAGACACGAAGGGACCCTTAGGGGCGAAGAAAGTCATTGATCGGGTTCCTAGTCCACATTTCAAGCGCCCTGAGCATCTTAATATTAGATGGATTTGTGCGCTATATAAAACTACACTATTATTAATAACCACTTGAAATAATGGTTAATAAATCTGGGAGAATTAGAATGCCAAATATTAAAACCGGAAAATTTAGGAACTCTTGTCTGCCGTTCAGCAATTATTGTATTTAATAAGAGAAAATTCAAGATAATCTATGTTGTAAGTGGAATTCATGTAGTTAGAATTGTTTTTTTACGATACTGTTTGTGCTTTGTTACATATTTATTTTTATTTTTGTACTGGAGTGTATTTATTCACAATAAGGAAGGAAAATTTCATAATTGTGCTTGTATTTTTGACAATAAAGGTATCTGTATCCTGTTAAGGAAACACTTAAATAGGACTAAAAAAAACAAAAACAAATTCATCAAGTGAGAATTGGAAATCATTTCTCCAATGGCTTAGATCAAGTGGAGGTACATTTGTGACCCCGGTTTATAGTGAATTTCGACATCATATTGGTGTAGTTGTTGAAGTCTTTTTGGGGCTGTTCCAAGGGGCTTCCTACTGATGGAAACTAGTGGTTTGTGGTCTGTCCACAGTTTTATCGTTTGGCCATATGTGTAGTAACGATTTCGTTCTAACCCAGATACTAGTGCGAGTAATTCCTTCTCTATTTGGGAGTAGTTGCGCTCGGCTGAAGTCATTTTCCTACTTGTCCAGATTACAGGTTACTCATTTTGAATGAGAGGCCTAGTCCAAATTTGGATGCGTCACCTTGCCCCTCAACTGGCTGAGTTTTATCAAAATACTTTAATACGGGGGCTGTAGTCAGTGTGCGCTTGATTTTGTTGAATGCTTCACTAAATTTGAAGGTCCATTTTCATGGTTGACCTTTAAGAGTAAGACGGCATAGCGGTTCTAGTTTATCTGATAAATGCGGTACAAATTTTGCAAGGAAATTGACCATTCCAACCAGTCTCTGTACATCGGCTAGCGATTCTGGAGAGAGCATATTATGTATGACATCAACTTTGGATGGGTCAACCTTTAGCCCTTCAGGTGTCAATATATGTCCAATAAATTTAATAGAGCTATCTTTGTATTGAAACTTGTCTTTATTAAGCACAACGTTGTTTTGGCAACATCGCTTTATCAACCTTATTGTCGATAAAGTTTCATGATGAAAACTGTAATAAGATTCATTTGTTGGGCTCTACAGAATAGGCATTAGATTACAATCGTTTACAACATAAAAATGTACTAAGTACTGCTTATTATTTTTGGGGTTTTGAACCATGAGCTTACATTTACCTACAGCTGTAACAGATTGCCCCGTGTAGCCCCTCAACTCTCTTTCTACTGCAATAATCTCTGTGTTTGAGGAAACCAAATTTTTGTTGATAATGTTGCAGGAGGCCCCACTGTCTACCTGAAATGTTACATATTTGATAGGATTTTGGACCTATGATTACTCTGAGTAACTTTGTTTACAGTGTGTTCAACATCAATGGTCATTCGTAATTACCCAAATCATTATCATCATCATATGTATCATCAATCATTTTGACACCTTTGTGCATTCCTTTAGATTTTTGGTTTTTAAAAGGGTACTTATTTTTTCCATTATTACAACATTTCAGCTCAAAATGGCCTTTTAGCCTACATTTTCGACAAATTGCATCTGAAGCTGGACAATATTTCCGCCCATACTTATGTATTTTACCACAGAACTAAGAAATTTTCGAAAGATTCATCATCCTGTTGGCTAGTGGTATGAAAGTGATATCTCTCAAATATCACATTTGTTTGTCCCTGACAGTATGACTCCCATGCTTTAATAATGTCATCAATATTCTGTTGACTCGCTTCACTGGGAAAGGAGAATCCGCTTTGCAATTCAAGCGCTTCGGGGCCTAACACCGTTTTCAATGTGGCCACTCTGATTTTCATAGGCTTTGCTTGCAAATTAGTTAGCAGTTCATATGATTCCTATAACTCACGAAATACTATCCAGTTAGATTTGAGATCCCCTTTCAGATTAATTCTGGGTGGCAGGGGTATTCGTACCTGGCTAGCTGACGCTGCTCCATCTCCACCGCCGGTACCCGATGATGCTGCCTAGCTTGAGGTAGACGTGGTAGCCATTTTCAATTCTTCTAGGCCTAGGCTAGTGTTCGTTACAACTGTATTTCCTTAGCTGATAAGAGTTAGCAAGAGGTTCCTTCAGACACCATATTTTTGTGTTAATACATTGGAGACACAAACAACTTTAACTTCCATGTAAATATTGTTAGAAACAATTTTATTCAATACGCCAAGCCTATCCAAGATTCCCTACATCTCCTTTCACCTTCTCCTCCCCATGTCGTCTCACTTTTCCTCTCTCTAGAGGGCAACAAACTATGATGATGAACAGAATAATATCATAATATAACTAGTTAACATTTAACACCAACAAAGTCCCGATATTTCATGTCCAACTCAACTAATCAACTAATGGCTGTGCGCCCAAAGTCTTTAAATATGTCTGGTATTTATAGACTAGACCAGTGTGAATTTTTATTGTAAACAGCCCACGTGAATCAGGCCCAGACGGCTGATGGCTAACAAGGTATCGTGCGAAAATGTGTACCTGCTGTAGGTATAGTTTGTACACATATGACAGATCTGGCTAACATTTAAAGCCCCATTCCCGGCAAAATTTCACTAAAAATGACTTTTTTTAGAAAATATGCATTTGCATTACTCCAATTATTATAAATCATGGAAAAATATTTATTCATGTCAAACATGTACACCTGTCTCTTATACACATCTAGATGTGTATAAGAGACAGCATTTATTTTTTGTGTGGAACACAAAAAATCAAATTTCAGTCTTATTTTACATTTTTTTCATTCTTAGGAATGTCTAAATTTAGTTAAACTAGCCATTCCGTATTATATTTATAAATCTTTATAACATTACACAAAAATTAGATTTTTCTTAAAAATTGAAATTTTGCCGGGAATGGGGCTTTAACAATTAAGAATTCATTTTCAATCTTTACTGCAGAAAATAAATTTTATATTGAGTAAGCCTGAGTTACTCATTTTAGAGTTAGGGACTCTAACTTGATGCACGCAGTGTCGTGCGTAACCATGGCATAGTCAGTTTTCTGTTTGATATCTCTTTGTGCGCCGACAATTTGTCAATAAAATATGCTGTACATTGTCAAGATTCGGACTTTTTATAAGTACTGTAAAAGCATTACACATTACATGGTGAGAAGTAGCCTTTTCTAAAAGTGCTTGCACGGACAAGTGGTCCCTAAAATTCTTGTCCGACCGTAAAAAAAACACGGGCGGTGTTCGGGCAAGTGGGTAGGCTTTATTCAAAATACGTTCCCAGTTACCCTATAATGTTTTTACCTTGTATGTAATAATTGTGGTTGTTGTTCATTCTGTTTTTGTGTTTTCAATTTGATTGTTGAAGGTAATATTGTCAAATCCAATCTGATACTATTATAATTGCAAAAAATGATAATTTCATACTGTAAGTGGTGGGTTACCCACTGTTGGGCAATCTTTGAAATAAAATATGTAATAATAGTTTGTGAATAAAAATTGTATGATCTTCAAATTTGTTAATTATAGATGGCGTATCTGTTTGATCACGAAGGAACAGTATTCTTTGCCATTTTTATGTCTTTCTGGGGTAAGTTATTTCCTTAATTTTTAAAATATGTTGAACAGAGTCAGTTGACCGTCCTGCAGCCATAATATCACCAAGCTCTAGTGGAGAGGGTGGGGGAGAACTGCGTTCTTTAACAACAACAACGGCTTAAACGTCTCTTCCGACTTTATTATACTTGTATTTTAGCCCGCATACCAAAGGATCACCACAGTTCAGCACATACATAGTGCCCACTGAGCTGTGATCTCTGTTGGTATTTCATTTTTTTTGTATATATTGAAGAGTCAATTGACCATCCTGCAGCTATAATGTCGGCGCCAAGGTCTAGCAGCACACTCGTCCACTGTTCTTTTTGGATAAGAACTATAAACCAGTGTACCGTATACACTCACGTGAATAAGCGCCCCGTTTTTGAATAAGCGCCCCTCCTAATATGAAGATTGTCTTAAGCGCCCCCTCAATTTTGAATAAGCGCCTCTCAATTCCTAAAAAAAATCAATCATACAGTACAGTACATCAGCAACTTAATTTTCTGTATCAGCTATTCGCATCTATCTTCGCATTGTCGGTCGGTCAGTCCATCTATCCATCTGTTGGTCTATCAGTCTCCATTAAGTTTAACATGGTTTTCAGTTTTGTTGCATCTTTAGAATCCCGTTCTTGTTTTATTGTTCCCTTTTTGGATTTAGAACTACAGTATTTAATATCTAAAAATTAAAATACTCTATGGCCATTTTCAGTCAACAAAAATAAATTGACCTCATCACTCTCGTATCTAAGCAAGAAACCTTGCAACGATCTTGCTAATCTGAATTGGCAGATGACCAACACGTTCACCACCACCACCAACACCACCACTAATTTCATCTGCTGTTGTATAAGTACCACCAACATTTTGTCATAAGCCATGCTCTCTTGACGATTACCTTTTCTTCACCAAAACCATTTGTTATTCAAAAAAAAAAAGTACCCCTTGAACTTTCCAATTGCCTATAAGCATCCCTTCAATTTTCATCTATTCCCATAAGCGTCCCCTCAATTTCCACTCGGTTTTCATAAGCGCACCGTTTGAATAAGCGCCCCGTTCGAATAAGCACCCCTCAAAAATAGCCAAAAACATTTTAAGCGCCCGGGCGCTTATTCGCGCGAGTACGGTAAACATAGGCTCTTGTGCACTTAACTCACATCGTTTGAGACAAGCAGGTGCATACCCAGCTGGTCATGACGTGCTGGTCAATACATCCCTGTGGTGGACAGACAAAATTAGCTGATACCAGTATATAAACAAGATATGTGCATGGTAATTGGGAAACATCTTATCATTATAGGCTAAAATCTTTAAACATTCTTACTATAGAAGATACTTTTAAATTACAAAAATTAATTTTAGGCTATAAAATTATCAACGGCTTTTGCCCATCTTCCTTTGATCAATAATTTTAGTGAAAGGTGTAAGGGTAGACTGATCCATTGGAATGCAAAAAGTAATATCTTTTTAAATTCTGCATTTGTTGCTTTTCCAAGACTATGGGAAGAAATTACTGTGGATATTCAACAATCAACATCAATTGGAAGTTTCAGATCAGCCCTTACAAAACACTTCCTTTCAATGTATTAGTTGATTGTTTATGGATCAATAATATCCTCTTTTTTGTTGCTTTTTGTTTTTCCCTCCTTTACATTTTAGTAAAAACGCAATTGTTTAAACATTTCGTAACCATCTCAGAAACCCACTAGATCGATTTTATGGGTGCAACGACTATCAGAGGCTAAATTTATTGTGAAAACAATGTACTGAACGTTGTTAAAATTGAAAGCATGTATCCTTGTTAGGCCAATATTTTTACAAACTCAAAAGTGCACAATTTCTACTATAAATGATTTATTCTTTTTGTATATTATTATGACCCGTACGTATATACTAGTGTTTAATATTATCTACATAGGCCTACATAGGATTACTGTTTTTTCTAATTTCAGCCTTTAACACGGATATGATGTCTACCTATTTCGATTAAGTGATAAGCCTACCAAAAGTTTACAAACTCCAGTGTTACGTTGACGCAGTCTCGCAATGACGCCATAATAATCAGTGGCAGATTCAAGTGGGGCCTAGCCGACCCTAATTTTTTCAAAATTATTTAAAAAAAATGGAAAAAAAACAAAGGAAAATTATAATTAGAATTTAGGTCTGAGAGTGCCATTTCCGGCAGTCTAGAGGTGTCATAATCATAAATTTTCTTTCCTAAGCCCCAACCATGGTGGGACTGAGGTGATACTTTCCCAACGTGCAAGTCCCTCCCTGTCCCCCTCTAATTTGCTTTCCTGGAGCCGCCACTGAGTATTAGACGGTATTATTTCCACTCACAATAATTTATCGCAATATTACTTACACAAAAGTGAAATTCAAAAAGAGGAGAAAAGCAAAAATCTCTTGAATGATTTTAAAAGTACCGTACATGCAAAAAGACTAAATTAATGACTGTTTTAAGTTTATCTTATTTGTTTTTCATAGTTCGAATTTCGAATACGCTACAAGCTAATTGCTGCGAAGCAGCCAATTTATATTCTTGACAGCAATTTGACCTCTGAAAGGTCATTGTCAAAAAACAAGGGCCTAAGACGACTGAAAAGCGGAGTTTCCTTCTTTCGTTCTGCCGGGTAAAATCAAATACTTTAGGAGACGTTTGTAGACTAACCTACACGTACCAACGTCCGCATGTTGCGCTAGCCTTATCCTACTCTAGGCCTAGACTAGCTAGGATGGTATAGGCCTAGCCTTGAAGGGACGAAGGTCCCAGTGAAAAACAACGTCGCTCCTTGATAGCTAACATTGTCTATTTAACATCACAATAATTCATTATTAGACCTATAGTTGTTTTTTGAATTGTACTCCACAAATCTCAGCCTATACCTCGCACAACTCGTTAACGCCTCGTATCTATTGTCGTGACGTCATGGCCCGCTGGCTCACACTTGCGATGTCTCGCACTTGTGATCAACTAACACGCTGGCTCGCACTTTGGCAACACTCTTTGGCAGTCAACTCGCCCCTAGAATACCCGCCCTTGGAAACTTGCCCCATAAAAAAAATGTACACTTCCTAGACCATGCAGTCTTCAAAATAAAAATTGTAACCTTTGGTAATCAACTACATTTTCCACATACCCCCCCCCCCTTTCAGCTACGGATCGACGCCCTTGGGCCCTACTGAACTGAAAACTTTCCCTTCAAATAAATAATACTTTCAATTAAAATATAATTATGGTGATTTTAATAGTTTTAAAAAATAATAAATGATGATATGACTATATGTACTGTTTTGTAAGAACAGGTTTTGTCTATACAGTGCTCTGTAATGAATAGGCCTACCAATAGATTTAGTAGAACAGTTGTTAGTAGTAGATATTTGGGTAGAACAAGTGCTGGACTGAAATCAATAACAGCATGTAAACTGTACATTTTGAAAAATGCTTGGAATTGGAATAAAACAATCTTGCATGTTGTACATCATTCTTAATTTCCCTCTATAAAGACACTTTGTAGAGGGATTCTAATAATAGACCAAAACTTCCTGGTCAAAATTTGGTTTTAATATCCATGTGCAGAACCATAATACATATGACTGATTGGTTGATAAACAATATTTTTATCTGGTTTGTGTAGTCTTGTTCCTCAGAGGCATTGTGAATATGTGGGAAAAAGCCAGGTGTTTTATTTCCGCTTTAACATCTGCTTTTTATTAATTTTTATGATACTACAAATGAATATCTCCTCTTGTACAAGAACAGCGCTTTATAACCGTAAGTAAAAGGCGCATTATAATGCCATACCAGTACCAGTACAGTTTCATGTGTTGGAAGTCTTGGATTTAAAAAAAAAAAAATATTCATGTAATCTTGGGCAGTTGTTGTGATCCCATATAAATGTTTCTACATGTGTACAACCAGGAGCTGTCCAAGTGCCATTGTCCCAACAAACACAAAGCATAAATGTTTGTGAACATTGTGGCTAGAATTAGGTTATACAAAAAATAAAAACATTTTTGAACACCAAACTGTAGCATCTAATTATTAGCTAAGGATACATGTTAATAGAAGTGGGATTGTTTACTTGGATCATATAAGTGTGCTGATATCAGGAGATGCTACATTAAGCCTGTGGTGGTAATGTACTTGCATCAAACGCTGCTGTGAAACAATTACTGACATCAGGTGTGGCATGATACAAATAGTGTGCTGATAAAGCTAAATTGGTGTAATAATTGATGATTGATGTTTGTTTTGTAGCTGTGTCATTCCTAGAATATTGGAAGCGGAAGCAGGTCAGTTTGGCTCATCATTGGGATGTTCTCGGATTTGAGGAAGAAGATGTAAGACTTTTGTCACCATTTTTTTATTTTAAAAAATAATATAAATATTATGAAATTAGAATTAACATTGCAAATTATCAACTTATTTCTTGTTATTTTGTTGTGAACAGAAGTTTATACAATTTATTATACAGTAATAATAACAATATAAATATATAAATTGGTCTATACACCAAATTTTGTTACTGATTACTAAAGTTATTTTTTTTTGTCTGAAATGTTAAATTTATTTTTAGGAGAGACCACGGCCAGAATTCTGTGCCAAGGCTCCTTGTATGGAAGCAAATCCAATTACAGGTGTGATGGAGCCATATTTCCCTGATGATACAAGAGCTAGGCGCTGGCTTACAGGCTTGGGAATTCTGTGTGGCATGGTATGTTTAATTGTATTTGCATATTGTAGTATTTTTGGTAATTACTCTGTAAATATTTTTATTCCTGATGATGACTTAATAAAGTCGAAACGTTGAGTAAAATGGCCTCACTTTCTCTATTTGGAGTCACTTTTGTTTTATTTTATTGGTATGTTTATGTGGAGTATTTTGTTTTAAATACAAATACTTCAGTTATATGCCTTTTAATAATAATCTTTACTATATATTGACCTGTTATATTAAATGTTCTCGCATAAAAAACATTTAATAAAAATTGTATTGAATTGTGTTAATCATTTTTTTATTAGGTGGTAATTGTGCTTATATTCATGCTTGGTGTTATAATGTATCGTGTACTCGTTAGTATCCCACTTTTCCAAAATGAGGCACTGCGATCACAGGCACAATCTATTGCTAGTATGTCAAGTGCTGTGGTCAACTTGATCCTTATTATGTCTCTGGGTCAAGTCTACCAGCTATTGGCACAGATCCTCAATGACTGGGGTAAGTAACCATTCTTATGCTGATTAGCTTTTTACATCTACATGTAAAAAATCATTTTGGTTTTGTTAGAAATTGCAAATTTGGCTGGAATATTCTCTTTTTTTTTTTCCATTAGAAATGCATCGAACACAGACAGAATATGAAGACAATCTGACATTCAAAGTGTTTATCTTCCAGTTTTGTAATTTTTACTCATCTATATTCTACATTGCCTTTTTTAAGGGCAAGTAAGTACATGCTTACCTTATTGCACTCAATTACGCTCCTCTCTTATACACATCTAGATGTGTATAAGAGACAGACAATATTTTTATCTGGTTTGTGTAGTTGGTGGTGGGGAAAAAAATATTCTATTTTTTGTTGTCATGTCACTAATGCGATAAAAATATATATCTCAATACAGTATCTTGTAATGTGTTCACCATTTTCAGATTTGTTGGTTACCCAGGAGATTATACTCGTATTTTTGGTTTACGAACTGAAGAGTGTGCTAATGGTGGCTGTCTTGTGGAGCTAGCTCAACAACTTCTGGTCATTATGGTTGGCAAGCAGATGATCAACAATTGCCAAGAGGTTGCTGTTCCGTAAGTATTCTCATCATTTCCATCCACACTATGGTTCCCATTCACATAGATTTTTTTTTTAAATGTTGAAGTTGTATTTTGAAGAATTTGTTTCACCATATTGGAACTTTATTACGACATATTTTGCTAGAGGATCCTGCTGCTGTAACCTACAAAACACTTGTCCTTTTATAAAATATTTGTAAAATATTAAAATGTACTTTTAAAGTTATCAGCATAATTGTAGTATAATTCGTTCAACCATGAACCACATGATCAAAACATGAAGCTGCCAAACTGCGACTACACTTTACCTACTCCAGCTTTACTCAACTGAAAAATAAAACAGATGAGCTTCAGAATTCCCACAAAGAAATAAAGCATGCAGATGTTCTGAGAGAGTTAACTAGAAGAAAGCTGTTCCTCTCTGCGAAAATATCTTCCAGCTCTTAAAGACTTACCTCTAGTTACTCTCATTTTTACTAACCTTACTGGTGGTCAAATTTCAAATATAGAACCTTCTGAACCATTCTTCAACAACAAAGTAGCCAACTCACTCCTGATTGACACCTCACCTTTCACTCTTAATAAAGGTCTCTACTCTTAATAAATGTCTCTCAAATATTAGCAATAATAAGTCTACTGGTTCAGACCAAATTCATATGATCATCTGGAAGAATACACTTGTTGTCAAGAACTGCTGTACTTCTGTAATTAAACCTTCGCTGGAAACCAGCCAGATTGCTTCTCCAAATCTTTTATAATTCCACTTTCCAAGAAAGCCTGAAAATTGTAGACACATCCCTCTTACCGCTTCTGCTGTTAAAATTTACAACTTGCTTCGGTTAAACCGCATGAGTGTGTACATGTACAGTACGTATCCTCAGAAGAAACTAAAATGGATTCAGGAAAGCCAGAAAACTGTCCCACAAATTCTAGCTATCAGACGAGTAATTGAAGTTACTGACATGGAGGCTGCCATTATTTTTATTGATTTTCCAAAGACTTTTTATTCTGCTAACAGAATGCCTACAGTATCCCAGAAAAGAATGCACAACACATTTTAATACTCTTGGAGTCTGTTTATACTTGCACTCAAGAAAACTGAATTTATATCCTTCAACCACAAAGGCCACAACTAGTACATCTCCTTTTTAAAATGGACTTAATAGCCAAGAAATCCTTGACTCATGGCTCATTCATCATAACCGACAGCCTAAAGGATTTTATAGGTTGTATAGCGCAGGCCTGGTCAGCATGCAACAAGCTGCACCACATCAGGCAATATAACATCACAATGAAAATTAAGTTTATCTTTCTTAGCATGTTTGGAGAGCATTCTGTCTTTCGGCTGGTCTGTGCGTGCCATTTCTGGTCATCTAGAGGTGCCATAATCATAAATTTTCTTACCTCAGCCCCAATCAAGGTGGGACTGAGGTAGTATAGACTCTGCAGCTGTGAAAGTCCTTCCCTAACACCTTATTACAACTACCTCGATCCACCACTGATATTATATCATTTATTCGTTGTTAAAAGCATTTACAATGCAAACATGATTAAAAAATGAGTACATCTAAAATCCCATGATGGAATTGGCGACCAGGACCAAAAAAGGGCTCCCATTTTCAGAAAGCCACGGGCCCCCGGCCCCATCATTATGCCACAGGTAGTGGTCCGACGTACTTCTACGATAAATGCCAACAAACAGATTAGTAGCCATCCTCTTACCAACACTAACAGGGACACCGGCCTACCACTAGAATATTTTGGCAAAGTAATGTCAGAAACCTGGAGCAGGCATGTCAAGTCCACCTTGACTGTGATCAAAGGGTAAGGTAAGTCAATCTTCGGTCTCGATTTTTTGTGAACAAAATCAGAATTTAAAACTGCTGATCCCCATGTTATTTTGCAGTTTGAATTTTTAAAATTGTCACACGGGTAAATAATTACAGACTTAAGATACCATTCATAGATTTATTTGCTTTGAAACTCTCATCACATTGTCCATGTAATAACGAAGCATACTTAATATGTAAGCATAAATTGAACATATAAAATATTAACATATATATATTCAGAGTTCAAAACAATGTAATGTTCATTGACTTATCCATTGTCCAATATACATATCAGCTTGAATTGGTAAACTGTTCCAAAAGGTATTTCGCAATAATAAGTGCGAGTACTGCGTGAAACTTCTGACACACGATTCCCAAAACAGGCTTCGAATGAGTAGTCAATCAGTTCATGCAACGCAATGTGTCAACAGATTATCCACCACTATAATGAAGTTATATCTCAGGCAAAAGGCCACCTACAGTAAAATACCAGACATTTTACAATAATAATATTCATCTCACTAATAAGTGCTAATTAGAAATATTACCCACAAACTGTTCTTGAAACCTACTTACAGTTCATGCAACGCAATGTGTCAACAGATTATCCACCACTATAATGAAGTTATATCTCGGGCACGAGGCCACCTACAGTAAAATACCAGACATTTTACAATAATAATATTCATCTCACTAATAAGTGCTAATTAGAAATATTACCCACAAACTGTTCTTGAAACCTACTTACAATTGTTGTAATGTTTACAGCTTATAGGTTAACATAATCCATGTCTATCCTGACATGTACACGTACGGTATTTACTAAGGCCTATTTGTTCCTGGCTTATCAAATTACGGTCACAGACCGTTTTGACCTAACACCAAGCCTTTACCACACTCAATCACTTCCCGAATCACAAAGAGCCAAGGTCTTTTAACTGCAAGTAATTTACATATCAATGGTGCGTGGTACCTGTACATGTAACAGTGGCATAAAATACCATAGCACATATCTTACCGTGACAAAAATGTTTTTTAAGTTTTCATTGTTTTAAATATATTTTGTTATTCAATTTTGTAATTGTTCTGTGTTGAACTTCAGGTCTATAAATAAGTCACTTTGTAATTGTGTGCATGAAATTGACTACAAAAAAATGTTTGATGTTAAAACAACAATAGTGGGATACTCAATCCCAAAAAGCAATTTTTATTGCTTGTTGCATAAAAATTATATGTTAACCCTGGCAACCTTACAAATTTTGGGCTAGCATCCAAAATAACAGTGGTGGCTCCAGAATTTTGCCAACATGGTACCATGCATCTAATTTCTGTACTAGCATGGTTGTATGGTCAAAACTTTACACTTGTTGGTAGGAATCAAAATTGACAGCATGATAAAATGTTTCCTTTTTAAAATGGCACACTACCTACTTTTATGATAACACTTTGATTTAAATTAAAGGAAAATTAAGCAGTTTATTCAGCGTTGGAAATTGAAAGGCTCTTTAAGCGATCGAGAAAGCACTCGTTGGGAAGAGGACTACCAACTTGTACCAAATGAGGGACTCTTTGAAGAATATCTTGAAATGAGTGAGTTGACCATTTCAGCATATGTTTTTATTACTGCTGTACACAAATAAATTGCCAGAATGCTTAATGTAACTGTTCTAAAAACATGTCAGACTTCAGTGGCTTTTAGGAGGTAAAGAATGATCTTGGATGCATTTAAGATGTGTGCTTGATCTTTTTTGCTATGCAAGGACCTTAATGTGTAAATAAGTTGTTTTGTACAAGGAAGCATTTGATTATATTTGATGTCTCCACAGTCCTTCAGTTTGGGTTTATCACGATATTTGTTGCATCATTCCCACTGGCACCACTCTTCGCTTTGCTTAATAACTGGATTGAAATTCGCCTCGATGGATCTAAATACTTGTGTGAGGTGCGTCGACCAGTTGCTGACCGTGCAGAGGACATTGGGATCTGGTTTAGTATCCTGGATGCTATAGCGCAGATTGCTGTTGTCAGTAATGTAAGATTTTGTTGAATTTACAGAACATTAATTAGACGTACTATCGATCTAATCCTCCAGCTAGGCACTTCAGTTTGCCCATGTTTTTCTTCTTTTTTTTTGTGCAACACTTTTCTGGGGCTTGTGCCCCACTCCCAGATGTGTATAAGAGACAGATACCAGACATTTTACAATAATAATATTCATCTCACTAATAAAAAAAAAAAAAAAAAAAAAAAAAAAAAAAAAGCCCAAGTTTAGATTTCTTTCAATTAATTATAATAATCATTATTTGGCATTGCAAAAAAAAGTCACTTGACCATCAATTTGCCTTTTTTCCCCCTTGAGTGTTCCTATATTCACTTCAGAAATTGTCAGTGTATTTCAAAATATAGCTGATAAGTCACACAGCAGTACTGACTGCTGGGGTAACCTTACTATATGAGCAACAAATGGGTGTCAACCAGCTTATTTAGTGGGTAGGCCAACCTTCCTCTAGGCCCCACCAACAATTTGCTAAAAAAGTGTGAATGTTGAGTTTGACAATCGGGACAATGGATCACCGGTTGGCTGCTGTTTATTGTAGTCGGAATGTATTATAGGAGTTAAATTTAGATTTATATGAAAAACCATTAATGTTGTTTTTTTTAAAATTCATAAATGTTTTGTAGGCTTTCTTGATTGCATTCACTTCTGACTTCCTGTCGAGAGCATTGTACAAATATAAGCACAACGGTGATCTTTATGGTTACACTAACTACACCCTGTCTACGTCACCTGAAGGCTCAATGACACATACATGCAGGTAAGCAATAATCTCAATCATGACTCTAAACTTACTGCATAATTTCTAATTTTATGAATTTTATTGGGAAAATAAAATACACTGTAAATACATTAAAGCCTAATTCTCCCTTTTTCCTTGTGCTAAATTTAAATATCTGTTATGTCTTATCTTGTAATTTAGGTACCGTGACTTTCGGGATTCAGAAGGAGCTTACACTGTTACATATTTTCAGCTGTTGGCACTCAAACTGTTATTTGTCATTATTTTTGAAGTGAGTATTATAATGTTATAGCATCTAACAAATGTATTCAAAAAGAAAACCACAAAAAAAAATAGTTTTTTGTCTACACAACATCATTCCACATTATCTTGATTTTTAAAATTTACACAGCCACTTAGACATTTGCACCTCTATGAAAGCTTTGGTAAATTATTATTTGTTTATACAGTACTGTTTTGTGTGATATTGTGCTGGAAGGTCTTGTTATGCTTTGGTACTGACATTTTCATTTATAATACTGGACTACTAAAATAGAATTTACCAATAACTTTGATATACTGGAATTATAAATTATTGATGACATCTGTGAACAATTTGTATTTGTATCAGTGTTTAATTGATTACCGTTCATTGCAGCATTTTGTGTTTGGTGTTGGCAAGTTGATAGATATCGCAGTGCCTGATGTTCCAGAGAGCTTGGACGTGAAGATTAAGCGTGAAGCTTACATGGCTAAACAAGCACTCAGTGACATACACGTAAGCAAATAAGAACTTAGACTGTTTACATTGCATGAGACAACAATGTATAATATTCTTTGTCCCCCTCCCCTTTTTGTGACATTACGAATTAGTCAATCTGAGAATGCCATTTCTGGCCCTCTAGAGGTTCCATAATCATAATTTTTTCTTACCTCAGTCCCAACCCAAGGTGGTGCTGAGGCGGGGACGCTCGATCTGTGCAGTTATTTCCTGGGCCCCTCTATTTCGACTTCTGGACCTGGCACTGTTGAAGTACCATTTCTGGGCTCCTAGAAGGGTAATATTAATCCTTCAGAGGAAAAGAGAAGGTTTCGTCGGGGAATACCATAGCATTATCAAGAATACACCTCACATGATGAATAATTCATTGTGATCGTGGAAGCAATGTTGACTTTGACTTTGCAAAATACAACAATAATTATTAAGTCATTCTACAGTAGTTTGATGCCTATAAAATAACTAATGCAATTCATGAAACTGTCAAATATCCGTGGCCCCCTGCTTTGCTTGCATACTGAATTTATTACCCCCCACCCCCATTTTCAAAAACATTCTGCCGCCGTTGAACAACAGTAGGAATACTAAAAAAAAGTTCACTCTTTGCACTCCCATCTTATTTGTGTAAAATCTATTCTTTTCAAATATTTTACTTCTGATTGGAATTATGTAAATTAGAACTTTGGTAGGCCTATTATTTTCTGTGTTGTTTTTATTGGTAATTTGGTCTTGTGTCATCATCTTGACACTACCAAGTACTTAAAAAACAAATTACTATTTAGAGTGTGCTACATTCACAGCACATGACACCCCTTCATGAAAACTGTGACTTAGCAGTGGAGGTGACTAACAGTCTGGCATTTGATCAGTATTTAATACTGTTTAAACCCGCTTCATTAAATGAAGCAGGTTATTTGGGACCATATTTTATGTCATGTTTGTAATAAATGTGTTCATGAAATTGCTTTAAACTATGTTAAAAACCAGAGTATTTATGTCACCACTTAGTGAGTATAAAGTCTCTTGTAAATCTATCAACTCTAAATGACAGGCATTTTGTTTTATTTGCCACAGGTTGAAAAAAGAGTTTTGTAAAGGTAAACAACAATGCATGTCCAGCACTATAGCCTGGACCATGTACACGACTAGATGCACTGACACTGCATGTAATTTAGAAAGCATTAACAAACATGCATGCTATGGTTGTAGAACTAACAAATCTTTTATAGACCTAACTTCAAACAGGGAGTGACATTAGAAGTGATGTTAATTTAATTTGAAAATAACATGTGAAAGTGATGCTAAAGTGACAAGAAATTAAAATTTGAAAGTAACCTGAAAATTGAATGGTGAGGTACCGAGAATTACAATTTGTCCAAAGTGAAATGAAATAGGTGGATCTCTGTTTTTGAGAGATCTGAAACAGATGGCATTCATGTGGAATGCATGGTGATGTCACATGCACAAGATGCCTAGTAGATAGAATCCAGAGATGTATTTCTCAGAATTTTTTTTTTATCAAAAACAATGTAAACTAGATTTGAACTAGTCACTGGACGAGTTAAGTGGTCCGCTTGTCAGACAAAAGAAATCTCTCGGAGCTTAAAATGTATGAATTATTGGAAACTACTGTAGCCAAGATTTTCAAACAGTGCAGGAGAATATCAAGTCTGCCACCCTCTCTCTGGGGTTCTAAATAAAAATTTAAGAAAGAAAGAGGTGGGGGAGGGAGGTCAGAAAAACATTCATTTTGACCATGATGATGTCATCAAAGTGGAAAATGAATGAAAGCAAACTGTCTCCGCTATAACATACTCAAAGGTGGGAGACGTCGATTAAGAATAATTGAGATGCCTTTAAGTAAGTATAGAAATTATGACGTTATAAACATTCAGTTTTTCTTTTTATTAAAATGGCAATATGATGATTTCAAAATGTCCGATCAGCCATAATGATCTACAAAATCATATCTACAACTCATGCGCTTTCAGAATATACAAGATACAGCACTAGCATAGCAAAAATTTGTCCAGACAAACGGCGGCGCCCTTCTCTTTTTATAATGCAAGTTTTCTATATTTGGTCCACACGTATAGGGCGCCCTTCTGTTGCTAGGTATATCCAGACGCACACGGCGCCCTTCTTTTTCCACTAATGAAAGAAAACTTTATCACTAATAAACCAGTCATACGATTCTCCGCTTTTGTGTCTGTCATTGTATAGTTTTGATTTATTTATGCCTACTTGTTTGTATTTTATGGATAATGCAACGTTTTCAACCTCTGCAAAAGGTTACAGATATGTAACAGTGGCAGAAGCTTTTTAGATCCAGCCGTACACAGCGCCCCAATGTTTGTATTCCCAACCATGCATTTCGGTGGAACAGATTTTTTTGTGTTTTTTCTATCTTGTGTTTCTAGTATCTTTGCTATAAATGAATAAAAAATAGGCCTGATTTTAGCATATTTTCATTGTATGTGTCGGCACAAACGCGTGCAAGGATTCGTGGATGTTTGATGCGCACGTACAGCATTGCCATTGGCCAGAAGATGACTGAAAAGAATGGAAATTTGTGAATACAATGTCAGGGAATCAAAAAATGTAAAAGAAACATAATTTCTAGCTTCTGTACGTGCTGCGCGCGTAAAAATGCGCGGGCTTAGCGGAAAATGTCTAAAAATTTAAAATGCTCAAAATGGTATGAAACATGACATGTACATGGCATTCAACCTTGACCTGGAGTTTATGCCCACTGCATATGCTGTCTCTTATACACATCTAGGATGATATGGGTCATCAAATATTGGAGCAAAGAAAAATGAGGGGGTCCAGAAAAAAACATTTATTTTGACCATGATGACGTCATTAACTGTAAAAAAAAGTTTCATTTATGAAAGGTCTCAGCTATAACATAGTTGGGAGAATATCAATCAAGGATAAGCGAGATACGGTCAAATGCGTATTTTCAAAAATGACGTCATAGATAAAATTTAGTTTTTTAAAAATTCAGATGGCAATATGATAACATCACAATGTCCGATGATCTATATAATCATAACTAAAACTCGTGTTTCAGAATATGTAATAAAAATTAGGGGTTAACTTACTGTACATTCAAAGATACTAGAAATACAAGATACAGCACTAGCATAGCAAAAATGAGGCGGAAATTTGTCCAGACGTACGCGGCGCCCTTCTCTTTTTATAATGCAAGTTTTCTATATTTGGTCCACACGTATAGGGCGCCCTTCTGTTGCTAGGTATATCCAGACGCACACGGCGCCCTGTCTCTTATACACATCTAGATGTGTATAAGAGACAGGAAATAGCGGCGCCCTTCTTTTTCCACTAATGAAAGAAAACTTTATCACTAATAAACCAGTCATACGATTCTCCGCTTTTGTGTCTGTCATTGTATAGTTTTGATTTATTTATGCCTACTTGTTTGTATTTTATGGATAATGCAACGTTTTCAACCTCTGCAAAAAGTTACAGATATGTAACAGTGGCAGAAGCTTTTTAGATCCAGCCGTACACAGCGCCCCAATGTTTGTATTCCCAACAATGCATTTCGGTGGAACAGATTTTTTTGTGTTTTTTTCTATCTTGTGTTTCTAGTATCTTTGCTATAAATGAATAAAAAATAGGCCTGATTTCAGCATATTTTCATTGTATGTGTCGGCACAAATGCGTGCAAGGATTCGTGGATGTTTGATGCGCACGTACAGCATTGCCATTGGCCAGAAGATGACTGAAAAGAATGGAAATTTGTGAATACAATGTCAGGGAATCAAAAAATGTAAAAGAAATGTAATTTCTAGCTTCTGTACGTGCTGCGCGCGTAAAAATGCGCGGGCTTAGCGGAAAATGTCCAAAAATTTAAAATGCTCAAAATGGTATGAAACATGATCTAATTTAGTCAAAAAGTTATTTTGAGCATTTTAAAATTTTGGCGCACGTGTTCGCGCGTGTTATAATGCGCACGCAAAATATTTCGGTATGTGACATTCAACCTTGACCTGAAGTTTATGCCCACTAAATATGATTTAGAAATGACAATTGGTTAGGATAATATGATTGATATGTAAAAACGCAAAATTGCGTGTAGATGGTGTCACACATTCAAAAGCTTATTGTGACTATTCCAGGCCAAGCCAAATGTTCATTGAATTGAGATATTGTGCGAACAGAAATGGGGGAAAAAGAAAGAAGAATCTGACAATAAGGAGGTGATCCGCTCGGGAATGCAGGCTCAGACATAGTGTCCTGACAGTTATATGATTATATGGCATCATTAAACAATCAACAATGGAATGGTCAACTTTATTCATGCTTGGACACAGCCCGGAACAACATAAATTATTTCTAAAAACTGAAGAACTAGTTTGTGAGACTGAAAACAAGATGCTTAGGATTGATTACAATGACACAACAGTAATGAAATATGCTTGAATAAGTGCCACGCTCGAATAAAAGCTGCGGCGCTTATACAGTGTTAAAATAAATAAATACCACAATGAATCTAATCTAATCTAATCTGGACATTTATATAGTTGTTCCTTTGTCATTGGGTCCACGTGTTGTGTCATCTTGGCGCAGGAGCAGGCAACCCCACCAGGAAGCAACGTAGATAAAGTGCCTTGCTTAAGGACACGCGCAATGCACAGCGAAGGATTGAAACCCTGACCTCAGGGTTGGGAAACCAAACCATTCCTGCTGCGCCAAATCACTTCCTCCAACGAAGAAGACACAAGCATTTCTTTATATGCATTTATTTACGATGATACGACCTGCAGTATGATTTGCCTACGGGACGGGAATACGTGGAATAGGTAACATGGGAACATGCATGGAAAGCACCACACCAATATTTTTTTATAAGCCTCCAAATATGTTAGAAGCGCTGCTGCGCTTATTCGAGCATGTACGGTACTTACGGTTATTAAAAGGTGCATGTTCCAATTTGCTTTTATTTAAATGATTACTTTTTGTGCACTTGGTAATTTTTAATTGGTCAGTATGTGCTTTTTTTGGTACTGGTTTAAAATAGTTTTTGACTGAGATGTTATAGGTGTCACCCAGAATAAACTGTACTGTACTCGTCAATATTATTTTGCTGGATTTGTAAAAAACTCTGTTACAGTAGTCACAGTAGTTCAACATCAGCAGCTTGAACTATTTGATCTTGTTAAAGATTACAAAGAAATAATTTGTTGCTTAAGTTCACCACTACACTGCAAGACTAATGTTACAAATCACATTTACAAAAAGCAATGGGACCTCTATAATAAATCGTTAATTTTCAAATGAACAGTAAATTGAAAACACTTGAAAATACAAAGACCTTTTATTTTTTTTTTTCAGACCTAACTCGAGGATTGATGTTCTGGCTCAGATAACTAAATGAAATAGTAATTGGTGAAGGCGTTTCCAAATAAGGATTGATCGGAATCAAGTGATTACTATATTATTATTATTATGGCATGTGGCTTCTTATTAATTTAATACATATATTTATCTTTTATCTTGTGTTTTTCTTGATTTAATTTTTTTTTTTACTATTTCAAGATGATGATGATGACATTAAATTTTAATCAATTGAATTTAATTATAATTATGCTATATCATATTGTTATGTAAATTGATTGTTTGTCTGTGCATAAACTGTTATAAAAATATGATGTATTCTGTATTTACCTTCCTTGTATTATTATGGTTCTCTTGTCAAATAACAATAGACCAACAAGAATATATTAGCATATTATATATTATATATTCTTATCAACTAATTTCTATTGCGCCTATGACGAACATATTCGTCTCTACTGTTGGTGAAATGAAACAAATATTAATGGTTATTAATTAGTTTAGTAATTATTTGTTTTATTGCGCGGATTCAAAAATAATGGTATGGTATGATAATTTAAAGAGGATGAGTTTTCTAGACACCTATGTTTTTCCTGGCAATATTGTATATTAATTTTATCAATTATTATTATTATTATTGTTTCCAACAAACGTTCTTTGCCCCTTTTTAGATTTTGACCCCAGTGTTCTCCCTACACCCAGGCCTTTGCCCAGTTATAAAAATATAATGTTGACCATTTTTCCAATAATCGTACTTACTTGCATTTACTCTTATTTTGAACATTACCGTTTAAGACATTGTTTAAATCCACACTAGCCTGTATCTTACAATTTAGGCCTACCAGAAAGTACATTCCCATTACAATGGTCTTCCATTTCCATGGCACATGATACAAACAACAACAATAATAATTATAATAAATAATGATTATATTTTGAAATACTGCACACAGAAGTATTTGTGTTGGTCTATAAAGTTTAAAAATTCTAGTGTCGTTATCACTCGTTCACATCCTCAGCTCCATATTTGTCTACTCTTGAGGGAGCTCCAATGTCAAAATTATTCAGTCAGATAAAGTGGTACTGCAAAAATCAACTCATATCTGAGGTCTCTTGCACCCAAGTTGCTGTGTGATTCAGATTAGTTATTATTAGTTATTAGTGTACATGTACTGTATTATTCTTGTTGTGTGAAGGGACAATTCTATCACCAGCATAGCTTCAGGTGGTTTATACATTTAAAATAAATGCATGAATACGAATGCAATAACCTGTGTAAAAGGTTTCAAATATTGGCATTACTTCTCAATACAATTGTGCCCAACAGTAGATTTATTTTTAGTCATGTTTTTGGAAGGTTTATTTCGTTATTAGATAGCCTTTTGGGCAGAAATTCTCTGCTGTATTTGCACGAAATATGTTCATCCAACCTAGCTGTTGCTGTGTGCTTATAACCAGAGATAATGGGTTCCTAGATAGATCAGTAATTTCAGTATGCAAATCTAGTTTTATTTATTGGGAATGTGCAATTGGTGAATAATGGAAATTCAAATTATTTTTAATAGTGTATTTTTCTTTGTTACCTTACATTACCATAATAAAGTTGAAATGTTTAAAATGCGTGTTTACGTGTGTTTGTTTGCAAAAAATAAAAGAGACCAGTAATGAAATGTCTGCTATATAATATTTATTTACTGTTTACCTCAATTGTAGGATTTTTCTAACAATTGGAATTCTTCTCTTTGGAATATAACAAAGGTAGACAAGACAACTTCTACAATAGATCACCACTGTTATGATTCACAATCATTGAGAAAATTAGAGGTATCAGTTCATATACTAAAACAAAAGAAATAGATTTTGAGGAATGAGTTGGGATATGTATCATCCATCAATGCTGCGATACATCTCTAATTTATATCTGCATTTAAATACCATTCAAATGTGAACGAAAAAAAAGAACCAAATATTAAATAAAAATAATTAATTGAAATTACAATTCAATTGCTTTCTTTATTTTTTTTTTTATATTTCCTTATCTGAAAACACTGAATTAATATATTTTAACATTTGGAAGCACATTATTATTGAATGCATGGACATGTATCTAACTTCCATTTACATTTAGTAACATTTAAAAAAAGGGAGATGCTTCATAATAAAGGATTAGTATACATTATAGAGCACAGCTTAATCTATTGGTGTGCTGGCAACCCAGACAGCCATTAAGTACATGAATACATGTCAATCCTACAACGAGATTTACAAGGCACTGAGTCCATGCATCATTGTCACTCGCACGAGTTATTTGATATCATTTGCTACACATGTCAATTCCATTCTTTGCTCTTAATTTTACTAAACACAGTAACTACAGAAATATAATTAGAATTTGGGAATTAATGCACATTATCTTCTGCATTCAGTACAGTACTGAAAAAAAATGTTGGTTTGACTGTACTAAACCATTTTTTTAATATTCTATCATGTTGATACATAACATCTGTTATATACAGCAATTAAGTTAAAGTAGCAGTCATTAAAAGATAAGAAGTTTACCATATGTCAACAAAAAAAAAGAAATTTTTAGTGTTTTTTTGTTGGGCCCCAGTGAGCATGTCTGGGTGTAGGTGCTGAAGATGCTCCAATGGATGGAAAAGCTTCAGTATCTTGTGTGTTTGGAGGAGCTTGATTCCAAGGAGCCTCGCGCACGATGAATCCAGTAGACGGTTCACTTTGATAATTCTGCTCCTTGCGACTTGGTGCATGTCTGTATTTGGACATCATTTCATCATCAGTAATATCTTGCAGCTGCAAGTTACCAAACAAATCTTAAGTTAAAATTTTATGTGGACCATTTTATGAAGAGTGGAGTTGAATAGGGCTGTCTAGAAAACTCAGATCTTTAAATGACCATGCCATTATTTTTAGAGGGTAGTTTTAATTACCCTTTATGTTTTATGTTGATAATACAGATTAAATAATACTGTACAATTACAAATATCAGCACTAGGCCCCAGATGTTTAGATCTAAAAAAATTCAGATTAACAGTACATACAGTACTTTTACCTGAAACTCCCCTCTAAATATAATGGCATGGTCTAATGAGATCTGAATTTTCTTGACACCAGATGAATATGTTAACACATTTGATGTAAAAAATTTATATAAATAGAGTGGCTAAGGAGAAAAATCGTGCACTTTTGGAAGAAAGCATGAAACTTCCCACAATGATACTATGACACTTAAGGATCATTAAAAAAAATAGACCCCAAATAATAAGCCAATTAGTGGCCGCCATCTTGAAATTCAAAATGGCCGCCAATGATCTTTATATCTACAGCATCTAGCACTGTCATTCAAAGGTCTTTACCTATGTTTTCAATATCAGGGAGTATTATGCAATTATGTATATCGGATTCCAGTGAATCATTTCATCAGGCCGCCCCTGACTACGAACAAGCTCTGCAAAACAGCGGATTCCAGCACAAAATGGAATACCAGCCTCCACAACCAAAATCCCAAAAGAGAAATAGAAGCAGACAAATAATCTGGTACAACCCACCATTCAGCAAAGGAGTTAAAACCAACATCGGAAAATCATTCCTTAACCTCGTAAAGAAACATTTTCTGATTGGCAACATTTTGCACAAGCTGTTCAACAAGAACAATGTTAAAGTCAGCTATAGCTGCTCAAGAAACATGGGCAGTATAATCAGAGCCCACAACAAACAGCTTCTGGTTGCTAAGCAACAACAGCCAGATAAATTCTGCAATTGCAGGAAAAAAGATGAATGTCCACTCTCTGGAAATTGCCTCACCTCATCCATCATCTACAAAACCACTGTCCACTCAAATATTGACACAAAATGCTACATCGAGCTCACTGACACACCGTTCAAAACCCGATACACAAACCACAAATACACTTTTAACACTCCCAAACACAGAAACAGCACCGTACTCGCCAAATACGTATGGAAATTAAAAGACAGCAACACACCCTACAATATCGAATGGTCTATTATCGACAGACAAACAGTCAATACTAAACAAAAGAACCGAGCTATTGTCTAAATGCAGGCACAACAAATACTTACTTAAAAACAATTAACTCATTTGCATTTTCACCTGCCTTAG